ATTTCATATGATGCGTGCTGATGCATTCATTTCAGTTTAATCGGTGTACGCGAACGAAGTGTTGTTTATGTGTTTGTATGTGTTTGGGCTTGTCGTGAGTGAATGAGTTTGTGTTGGTGAAAAATGCATCATATCAAAATCCGTGCGCTTAACGTTAAAAAAAAAACCCACGAAAACTTACTCCTTTCAACGATTCTACAGTTTTTTTTCCTCGTCTCCTCCATTCGTTCAACCATAAAGGTTCATCTGTTTTGTTTAAATTTCTTCTCTATCCGATTTGTTATTTGTCTTTCATATCGTTTTTCTTACGTTTCAGTATTCGATTCGATTGCATTTCGTTTTGTACACATTGAAATGTATCTCTCAATCTGTTGTTGTTGTATTCATTCTTCTCTTTATTGTCAACGTAAAGTTCTCATGTTTTCGTTGTCGCTTTCAAACGTGCACGTACATCGCCTGTCCATTCGCTCAAATTCACGTTCTTTCTTCTCTTTCGTTATGTCTTTTCTTCTTCTTCTTTTGAAAGAGAAGTGAGAGAAAAAAAAGCGACGACAACAACAACACAAATTGTGCTCTTGTTCTTTCTCTCTCTTCTTCTCTCTTGCTTTATACTCTTCAGTCTCGCCTCTTCTCGCTTTCGTTTCATATAAATTGTCGAGTTCTTGTAGATTTACACGAAATGTTTCAATGACTAATAAACCGGACTGTATGTATGTTTTGAAAGAGAAGAGAAAAAAAACGTAAAATGAAAACAAATTCATTGTGAGTTCAGCACTCGTTCCAGTGATAGTGTGTGCTGTTTTTTACTTCTACTCACTCTCTCTCTTTCTCCTGCTTCGACGTTCGCTGGGTTCGAACGAAGTGTGTGTGTACGTCGTTTTCAATCGAATTTTTGATTCAGTTTTAAGCGATTTTTTCGGTTTCGTGCTCAAGATATTATTTTCAGTTTTATATTCGTTCAAATAGTGCTCATGTTGTGTTTGTGTGTACTACGGACGAGCGTGTGTATTTTTGTTTTGTATTTTCGAACGAATTACGAGCACTTTTCTCATAATTTATTTACGTGCACATAGTATATTTCCAGTGAATTGAAAAAAAATATATTATTGACTAAGTTGAAAAATATTTGATTTCGTCAGAAATTTTACGTATTTACTAAATATATACTATTTAGCGTAGCCAAGAGACTCACCCACATAATTTAGAATAACAATCCGAATAATTCAATGGATCCGATTTAGATTTGAAGTTTCGATATATACGCAATTTTAGTACGAGTTTTGTTTTTTTATTCTTGTGATGAACATCAATGCCATCAGAAACCGTGATGTTCATTCAGCCGTGTAGTGTAAATATCGCTTTATCTAGATATGTTGTCCGTTTATGTTACTCCTCAAATGCTAATCCGCATAATACCGTGGTAAATTTCATCCTCATTCTCTTTTTTCTCTCCATACTACTTGCTCATACAACATTAAGGTGGCCAATAATATCCATCCTGTGTCGAATTCGAGTGGTGAAGATATTTTTTTTGGTTTTACCATCTCTTGCATTAGTTGGCCATTTATTCTACTCCCCAAATCATTCAAAATGTTCGTCCGATGTGAATACATACATTTATGCGTGTTGCAAACTAAAGAAGAACACTCCTTGGTAACAGACGTTTAATTCGATTGGCAGTAGAGATGTCCATTGAACCGAAATGTTCATGCTCGTTCGAGTTCGTTCGGTTTTAACTCAACATGAACCGAACTGACAATTTTATATGGAAAAATGTTATCTTTTTTTCTCGAAAGTGGTATATCCACGTTCTGAATATGCCATGTAATTTTGGTATAAATCAGAGCTCAAAAAATGATTTAAATAAACATCATATTTTCGTGTTGAACACTTTGAACTAAACTCAAACGAACATGAACACGAAATTTCATGAAAAAAAAAAACTGAACTAAACGATTCATGAGCAGCTGTAATTGGCAGAATGAAGAGGAACAAAGATAAAGTAGTTTAAAACACCGGGGGACAGAGAGAAAGAGAGAGTGAACGAGAAGTGGCCATAAATGTCATGCCGCTATTATGCAAACAAAATTGATTTCCTCTTCGAATATATAAGTTATCCGAATAATTTTTATAGGCCTAAAAGATTTCATTAGGCATTTACTGGTGCTTTGACAGTATTTCCATAAGTGGACCTTTGTACTATCAGCGAAGAGAGACAAAAAAAAGAACGTTCGTATTTTATTGCATACTGGATTTGCCGTATTGGAATTGGACACCGTATCGCAAATGGCCGATCATAAGCATAAATAAACGGTTCGAATAAGCAATATAATTTGTGTGTGTTACACCAGCAATTGATTACGCAGGTCGTTTGTTTTTTTTGTTTACACAGACGAAAAAAAATAGCATTATCAAATCGCAGTATAAAATACATAATTGCTATGTGGCCGGTGCCCACGAAATGGAAACTCATTTTTTTCGCTTCTTTTTCTTCTGTTGTCGTATTTTTCATTTGCTTCAAAGAAGACATTGAATTTATTTGAAGCAACAGTTTGTGGCAGCGTTTCGCTCAGCCGTGGTGTGCTAATCGAGTAAAGTGAAGATAAACTCAAGCTCAAAGAGCATCACAGAATAAAAAGGTGCACAGTGAAGAAAGAAAAACTGGTTTTCTTGGTGATCATTACCATGTGTAATGTGTGTACGTTCGATGTTCGTACAGAAAATAGCAACAACAACAACGGCAACAAAATCTTCTTTGGTTCGAGAATTGCTTGGGTTTTTCTATCGTTGCCAGTGCCCATTTTGCCAATAAAGAGGAATACAAATAAAATCGAATTGAATGCGACGAAGAAAAATATTATCTACACTGAAAGCAAAATACGTTTTTGCTGCTGCTGCTACTGCTTCTTGTTGTTGCTGTCACAGTTGTAATCGGCATATCGACCACGGATTTCTGAATATCGAGACCAAACTATACATATATTGTATGTACGTAGATACATATTCATATCGCTCATACATAAATAAATCCATATAGAATAGAAAGTATACTTGAAGATCGAATGTGTATGTTTGAAAACGCATGTTTTCTCGTTTTTTATATCAAATGTATGTTTGATCACAGTGTTGGGCTGTGTTCAGCGGTTCAATCGCTATATCTTTATCCATTGGTAATATTTTTTCATTTTATCTGTGGATTTGTTTATTTCAAACAAATCATTCGTGTGTCGCATTTTATCAATATAATATAGATTGAAGTCGTATGCCATCCACCCGAACGTCGTGCGCTCGCGTACACACATACGTTCGCTGACGGCTTATATCATATTTTTTTTCCCTTTCTTCGTCCGTTCGTTCGTTCTCTTCAATTCTTTCATATTGACTGCGACTCGTTATTTTCATACGTTTTATTCTCTTATTTTCACTAAAAGTTGTCGTTACGTTTTCTTCTTTCCCATTCTTTTCCTGAAAGAAAGAAAGAAAAAATCTATATTCCTTTTTTAGTGCAGGCTGATTTACACGAAGAAAACCGTATATAACAAAACGTTTTTATATCGTACTTGACTTGTTCCATAAGCGTTGTTTTAGTGTTTATGTATGAAGAGTTGAATGTAAGCAAACGTCGAAGAGGAGCAGAAAAAAGAAAAAAAGAAATATCACACCGTACCTAGAGATATAAAGAGAGAAAATGTATTTAGATCGGGTACACATAGAACAAGACCGAAGCAAAACAAAATAACAACAACAACAACAAAAATAGGGAGCCCAGAATAACGACAAGAGCACACCACACCACACATTCACATCATATCATAATTATTCATTTCTCTTTCGCGTAAGGAATTTTTAGATAATAATAATTATCCATCGAATGAATACACATGCATAATCAGCGTCAGGACTGCTGTTGCTATTGCTGCTCTGATGGTGGTACACAACGCACATAAGCACATAATATTGGCCTGCTTCACATACACGACACATATGATATTTTATTCCTCTCTTTTATGGTGCTCGTTGTTCACCGGAATGCTTTACTGCTCTTCGAAACAAACGAAAAATCGATTGCGTCTTTTGTTTTCCAATGAGTGAACGAGCGATTGAATGAGTGCGAGAGCAAACTAAAGGAAAGCAAGAAAGAAGAGCCACATAGAGAGATGAAGGGAGAGAAAAAACCGAGAAAAATCCAAAATGATCAAGTGAAAAAAATGTTCTTTTGAAAATGAAAAAAAATGCTGTAATTGCTATTCAAGGGGCTTTAAGCTACAGCAACGAGACGCAGATGATGAGACCACGCATTCCGTTTCCTTCGATTCCCACATCTGAGCTTTAGCTGCTTTAAAACAGTGTGCACTTCTTATTATCCGCTCAGTTGCCATTCACTCTCTTTCTGTTGCGCATACAGATGAGCGCGCGCGAGCCAGTATAGATATATATATGTATATATGATTTAATCGAAACCTGTTTATAAATTAGTTTGAGTGCGACGAACATGCATTTATAATGATCGAGAGAACATTTCGGACAGTACAGATACATTTATATATGTAATACATAAATGTTGTGTATCAAAGAAACGACACCCGATTTCACAATGAGTACGTAAACTTGTGCGCATACTGCGTACACCAAGCACTTATTATAGGCAGAACCATTGTCTATTTTCATGCACACTGCACAACGAAAACGCGCTTGCATTTCAATCAATCGTTAACAAATGTTTACTCACATTTTCTTCATTCGCTGCGAATTATTTTCTAGCCAAACGCATTTTGATTGATTTGTATCAATTACAAGCGGTTCGTTGTTGTCTTTTTGTGTTGATTATTCTTATGAAGGCTTCTTAGTAGGCGAAACGGATTACACACCAAAATGAAATCGAAAAAGTTTTTGTTTTGCTGTTCGTTTGATAATAATTTAGTTTAGATAAGAAACGTTATTTAATTTCATTGTTTTAATGAGTGAATCTTTTGTTTCCTTTTCTTTCTCGTCCATTTTAGATGCGTGGTGGATTCAGGTCCCGTAGTAATGAACGAGTAAACCTACGGGAGAAAATGATGAACGACACAATGATGAAATTGATTGAAAGTCGTAGTATGATTTTCGAATTGAAATTGTGATGAAATATACAAAGAGAACGAGAATGAAAAAATGAAACAGTGATTGTATCGATTTTGATGAACGAACCTCAATTCAAACTCAAACACGAAATCGAACAAAATAAAAGACGTTGAACACCAATGAGAAGCGATTTCGTAAAATAAATACAGTGTTGTTTTTTTCGCCGATTCTCTCCTTTTCGAACACACTACCGTGTTCAAGTGAATTAATAATAAGTGATAATAAAAGCCGAACCGAATGACAAAGTGTGTAAAATCGCGCGCGAAACGAAAAGAAAAGCCACAGCGATAAGATATTTTGTGCGCGGCGTCGGGCAAATAATGCACATCTCAACAAAATCAACGAATTTAAGTTTTACGGTACCTGTTACGTCGCAGACACAACGTCAACATCAACCAGTATTAGAATGCCGAAATTTGGTGGCGCAACACAATTCGGGGCAAATCGGTGCATCCGACGCATTTGCTACTGCTGACTGTGATACAGAGGATGAGGTTAATACTCTCTCACATTGTGTGATTTTATGTTAAAACAATTCTCGATGAGCTTCAAAATACATGTATAGCCGCTTCGCGATTGTAGTGAAAAATACACACATTCAAATATATATGCAACATAAGACGGATGCAGTCGCTAGTAAAACTATTGTGAATGAAAAATAGAACAGAAATTAGAAAACACAAAACAACTGCAAGCACATAAGCAACATCAACAACAGCAGCAGCAGTAGTAGTAGCAGCTGCACACACACTGTGTTTATTTCAGTATTTTAATTAGTTTTGGTTGTTTCGAAAGTAATGTGTAACTTTTGGCATTGCAGATACCGGCAACCATATTGAACTTTCATCAATCATCACATCAGCTGTTTGTTGTGTCACACATTTGGCAACGAGTTGAACAGCCAACAATATCAATAATAATCGATGTAATGTAATTTATTCGAATGATATAGAAAACAAATGATGGAACATAAGCACACGCCAACCAGTCAAATGAACTCAATGAACTCGGAAAAGTTATTATCACAAAATATACAATCATCACAAATTATATCATCTAATGCAAGTGCGACAATAGGCACATCGTACAATAGCGATGGCACAGCGTCTGGCGATAATAGAAATGCAACAACTACGATCTCGAACATTACTGTAACACTGAGTCCAAATTCAACGATCTCTAGTACAATGAATGCGACAACAATACAAAGCACGGCTATGGCCACTGCCAGCGGCAGCAATGGCGGTGGTGGCGGCGAAAATAAAAGTGCAGCAACCGCATCGAATGCGTGCCAACCACGATTACATCCGAAAAAGCGTAAATTCAATATCGCCGATTTGGAAGAAATTGATCCAACAGTGCATGCGACCAGTCACAATCACAATAGCAATAATATCAACAACAACAACAACAACAACAACACCATTAACACGAATAAGAACAATGGAAGCCAAAATGGAACGGATTCGAGTTTTGGTAACGGCGGAGGCGGTATCGCTGGTGGTATTGGTGCATCCGTGTCAATCATCAATCCTGTATCCATTCATAGTGATATTACCGATAAAGCAAACAACAACAATATGAGCTGGACAATTTCCAATGATAATGGTTTGAGAGCGAGCAACGCAATCATTGTGAACGTTGGCTCAACGCAGCAAACAATTGCACGCCCAATTGAACACACATTGGTCGTCACATCGAATTCCCATCTAAATTCAGTCGTTCCGACGGCAATTGTACACGAAGCAAAAGGATCTCATAGTCAATTTAGTCAAAATAGTCGAAAGACCGACAATGGCTCAACGAAAACTGATAGCGGTCCATTAATGATAGTACGTAACGAGTATCCAGTCATTGCATCACATGAACATTCTACGTCTATAAATTCATCAAATGCACCATCGAATATACATCACCGTTCGCCCCGCTCGAACGAACCACTCAAGTATGGTGTGCAATCCTCATCGATAATACGCATTGCACCGGCAGTGTCGGCAACGGTGGTGGCAGCAACCACATCATCAGCACCACCACCACCAGCAAAAATGGCTGCAACGATCGCCAACGAACAGCCACAGCTCGATCTGAGCGAATGGTGCAATCATCGTGTACTCGCCCGCCAAGAAGATATTTATGTTGCGGGAATTATTCGTTCGGTTGACACATCGAACACGATTCTGGTGGAATTCGATTATCCTGAAGGTACGCAGCAATCGTATTATGATGTTTTGGGAAACGGACGATTTGATATAATTAGCGATGCAAGTCCATCGGTTGGTGATATCATGCACGGCACAAGAGTCGTATGCTCATCGCAAACCAATCGCCAGGGACACACTTCGTTTATCGAAGGTCAAATTACACAAATCTTAAATGATACAAAGCAATTTGTGGTGCGCACCATAGCCAGTGACCAAGTGAAAACCGTGAAACGTGCACAAATCCGTCTTTTGCAACCGCCTTGGTGGGATGAACTCAACGACAATGACACAAACACTATGAGTGATAGTGCATCAGCATCAAGAGTTATAACCGGCCAAGTGAAGTCATTACATGCCATTGAACCGAATATGTACACGAATACGATGGCCGGAGCGGTTGCTGCTGCAGCATCCAGCAATACTCTCAATCCAAATGGCACTGTAAATGCAACGAACCGAACCGTTAAATATGTAGCACCATTACAGGTCCATCACCTTCTTCCAACCGTACAGGTAGAATTCAACTCTAATTTCATGAGAAAAAAGTTCCAATTTTTTGTTCCACCTTCTAATTGGATTAACATTTCATTTTCTTCTCTTTTCATCGCCACAGACAAGTGAAGAGCATTACAGAACAGCGGCCACTTCACCGTTTACATTGTCCAATTCCATCTCCGCCGATGCCATTCAAAATGTGGGCTTACATCAAGTGAATGAAAATCAAATCCCACAGATTATAGTATCGCAGCAAACGGCAAATACAACCATTCTGACAACAGCGCCGGGCGGTGCGACCATTGAACGCGGAATACCAGTAACCGAAGCGGAAATGCGACGATCACACCAACGGTCCTACGATGAATACGAAAGTGATGATGAGCTGAGACGCGAAGATATTAGCTTTACCATAGATGGAGGTGCGAGATTATCTGAAATTTAACATTTTATCGAATAGCACTTACAAAATGTCTGTTGATTTTCTTTATAGAAAAACTGTCTGGTAGCAGTAAACGTAGCAGCGTACAAAGCCGTGGTAGTACTTCAAGTCTTATTGATAATCGACTGACTCCCAGATCTCATGCTGCAACGCCACGTTCGCAAGCAGCAACACCACACAAATTTAATAAGGGTGATGTGGTTCAGTCAGAGACTGGCGTTCGCAAAAAATTCAATGGAAAACAATGGCGCCGATTGTAGGTTTCAAAGATAAATAAGCAAATTTTATCGATAAAATATCAGACGAATAACGGATTTCGATTTTTTTTTTCCGACAGGTGTTCAAATCCACAATGCACAAAAGAATCACAGCGTCGTGGCTATTGCTCACGCCATTTGAATCAACGTGGTAATGCCCTAAGATCATCGACAGGTCCATCATTCCAAAGGTAAATCACAAACAGATGATTACAAGACGTGTAAAAAGGTATTAATACGACTTTTCATTTGGCTAGCAGCCGTTCAAGTAGTAATACACAAGCTGATGAGGATACGTCTAGAGAATCGGAAACATCACCGAACTATCGGGTAACAGGGCGCTTCGATCAAGAGGAAACGGATGTGGCAAACATGTTGGGTGAGTATTTTCGACACATTTCACGTCATTCTTTTCCATTCAAACCAATTGCCGAGATCCACCTAAAATATAATCGAATGATGCATTTCGTCATTAATTTACTGACAACAAATCTCATTATCACATGCAAACAGTGTCTCTGAGCAGTTCACGTTCTGCGACACCATCCTTTTCATCGCCCACGAATCATGTGTCATCACCGATGAATGCAAATCAATCGCCAGTGACGGTTGGTAATCGCCAAAATTTGTTCATGCCAATTGGCAGTCCTGCTGCTCAACAACCACAGGTAATTACACAGCAGCACGCGCATTTCATTTCGACCAATTTGCTCAATATTGCCCAATTAAATCATTTACAGCAACAGTATAGTACGACACCGAGTCCAATTTCGTACAGTTTGAATTCGTCGCAAGTTATTCGGCCGGAATCACTTCGTCCACAAATTGTAACTCAATCGCATCACTCACAATATCAGGTAATTTTATTCGCATGAATCGATCGCATTGATTTATTGTTACATCAGAAATAACATTGTTGTTTGATTATTCTGTTTGTAGCAGCAGCAGCAGCAACAACAGCCACAGCAAGTGTCTCAAATCGCGGCGCCATCAATCACCGTGACATCACGGAATATAATGAGCACTGGACAAATCAAAGCTCCCCAAACACACGTAGCGCCCGCGATGAATTCAACACCAAATGCCCAGACTAGCGTGATTCGAATTTCACCAGCATCGTCCGCTTCTTCCATAATCGCAAATAATTCTGTGCACACGGCATATCAGCCATTTCATCCCGAGCATGTGCCAGGAATTGTAACGAATTCGGGTCCCGTGATTCTAACGACCGCGTCGATTGCATACAACAATGGAACTGGTTCCGCAGTGAATGAACATGCAACCATTCCAAAAAACGGAATTAATTCGGGGTCAGTTCATTCATGGACAACGCTATTGCCATTAATTGACGCCCCGAATAAAAATCAGAAAACCACAACCATTACAACGTCACACGTGAAACCCGAATCAGCTAATGTTCCAGCATCGCATGATGATCCAGACGGTATGCATTGCATATACACGATAACGAATATTGCTATCGTTTCAAGTGAATAAAAATACCTAACGTTTGTCTTTCGCAGATGATCAAATCGATGATGATGTGTTTGAGCAGCCATCAGCTAATGATATCAATAACATAGCATCGCGACAAGCGGCCGTAAATTTTCAGTATCCCCATCAAAGCCAACACTACCAGCCACAGTCAAACATAGACGTAGATAGACGAAATAATAGCTTAAATACCGTCGAACGAATGGACACAACGGATGGAAATTTTCAGCCACAAGTGATGTCATCTTCGAATGTCACCATGGCAACCAATTCAGTTTTAACCAATGCCAATGGAAATAATAACGGTGATGCTGGCACCGAGGCCGGCAACAATTCCGGATCGAATCAACTGATTGTGGGCAATGTCATGATTCAAAACAGCCCGATTATTTTGAAAAGTCCTGCCGAAACGATTGCCGCAGCAAAGCGTCGTACACAATCGTGTAGTGCTGCTCTGCAGCAAGGTGGAAATGGACCGCCATCGGCAAAAGAGCCCCAAAGTCCGGCGACAAAGCAGAAAGAACCGAAAATTCGTCGACCAATGAATGCATTCATGATTTTCTCCAAGAGACACCGCGCAATGGTTCATCAAAAGCATCCAAATCAAGATAATCGTACGGTTAGTAAAATTCTTGGCGAATGGTGGTATGCACTAAAACCAGAGGAAAAGAATCGATATCACGAGCTGGCGAGTGAGGTAAAAGAGGCGCATTTCCGTACTTATCCCGAGTGGAAATGGTGTTCGAAAGACCGTCGAAAATCTTCAAGCTCTGGCAAAGATGGTCGCGGTCGCACCGATTCAATTGATGGCATGGATGAAATCAGCCCAAACACACCATCAGAGCACTATCAAGGTGTTGATTTACCGGTCAGCTCATTCGCAATGCCATCGAATCATGACGAACCCGACCCAGCCATGGACACATCTGAACCACACACTTTTGGTAAGCCGATTCGTGTATTTCATTCTTGAAAATAAGGGCGATTTTTACTTACTTTCTATCTTGTTCAGCTATTCCAGTTTCGGCTGCCAGCTTCAGTGTTAATACGGCTGCCCATGTGGAACCAGCTATTGAAGTGAACAATGAACCACAGGATGAGTCTATGTCAGACGAAGAACCGGTAAGCTAAAAAAAAATATGTCCCAATGTTGTACCATGATATGATAACATTTTCGACGGAAAATTTAGATGGTGATTGCTGAAGAAGAAGCACCAAGTGCCAAGGAAACCCATGACATCGATTTAAAATGTGCCGAAAAAGTAACCGACTCAGACAATGAAGATAATGCGGAATCAATCGAAAGCAAAATAAAGAAGGAACCCTTGGCGAACGATGGTCAGCAAGAAGGAAATGGTGCCCGTGATTTTACTTGCAAACCAAAAGCGATAAAGCCACAGCGACAAAACATTGAAAGTCCCTTGCTAAACTATCAACAGATGTATTTAAATGCATACTCTCCGAAAAATCCATCTGGAATTTTGCCATTTCAGCCAACTGCCGGTAATTTATCCATACTCTTGTACTCACTGAATCGATTCATTTTCAGAAGAAAGAAAAATTCACTCACTTAATTTTCTATTCGCTTTGTATCAGGCGGTGCATTCAAAACCATGCCGATCAGTCCAAAGGACACAAAACCGATACTGACAGCAGGTGGAGTCATTGTAACGGAAAGTGAAAATCAGGGTGACGTAAAACCATCACCGCCCACAGTATTTACTTTCACCAACGCATCATTAACCAGCAGTGAGTAATCGTTGAAGAAAATGACCAAAGAGACTTATGACTTGCACACTAATTAATATTTCATTGATTTTGATGTCATTACTACATAGGTGGTGGAGACGGCGATGTTGATACAAAGCAGGAAGCGGTCGATAGTGAAATTGACGTGAAACCCTCGATTCCTTCGCATGTCAACAACATTCAATTGAGTAAAGGTTTGTACAAACAATTTTTCACGTTTCGCATTTTTCCGTGCTACGTTCATTAACAAAGTTGTGTTGCACTTCATTTCATTTATTTTGGAGTACTATCAGTTGTTTGTCATTTAACAATTGCACACATTCGTTATCATTTTCTTGTTTTTTCCCCTTCTTCTCTTCATTGAGTTGAACTCATTGGATTTCCGTTGTGTTTGCTGTTTTTTTTTCTATCGAGTACAGTTTTGTCTTGAGTTCATTGCCAATAAAATAATATTAAACCACATCTTGTCTTGTAACTCTCACATAATCGTAACGCTCTTTCTCTCTGTTTCTTTTTCGTATGCATTATCACACTGTAAAAACCAAACTAAACGAAAAAAAAACTAACTGTTGAATGTATGTATGTGTTGTCCGCATCATCTATGTGTCTCTCTCATTTGTTTGTGTCATGCGAAAAACAAAAACAAAAAAAAAACAAAAACTGAAAATACGAAATAGCCGAAATCACCATAGTTCCGACAACAACAAACACACTCTCATCTTCATCATCATCATCTTTCATCAAATGTGTATCACCAAATGTATTAATCGGCGGAAATAATACGAATAATAATAGTTATGTTGTGTTCGAAGCGATTTACTATGATACCGGTTCGAATGGTGTGCAAAATCACTCGAATCAATTCGTTGTGGCCAAAGTGAAAAATAATCATGTAACCAACGATACGACGATGGTTACAAAAAACGAAACCAGTGTTGCGCCATCGATTTTGGTAACATCTGTTTCATCGCCCTTAACCTCAGTGTTGCAATGTAATAATACATCATCATCAACATCGTTGTCGTCGTCGTCGTCATTGCATAACGGTACAATCGTTAAAAAACCCGGAATCATTTTATTAACGCAAGCTTCGCTCAGTAAATTGCTCAGTGCAAACGATTTGAATGTGATTAACAATAATTCGAACACAAACACAGCCAATCATGCTCATTCCCATCAAAATGATACTAACATTCGTAGCAAGTGCAATTTTGCCATTACTAATTCAACTAATCCAAATTCATCACAAAATAATAATCATTTAACATCCGTTCTGATGATAAATTCCACGTCCACGATAGAAACGACCGGCGGAATTGTAACGTTGACCTCGTCAACTGGATCGATGCAATCAGCTCCCAATCGCGATACAACCGATGAAAATGGCAAGAACAACAATCAACAGGTAAATAATCACGAAAAATAAAGATCCACGCTTATTTTGTAGTTTGAAATACAATTATTATTCTTATATTGTAGGTTTTATCAAGCCGAAATCTGCCAGCCACACCGAAATCAATGACCGAGCCGCAACACGTCACTGAACACTATTCATCTGCAATTCGGTCAGATAATGAGGATGCCATGGACAACGAAACGATTGGAGATGATGAAAAAACTGAATACGAATATGGTGAAGACTATGATGATTCAACGTCGGCCGACAATCAACAAAGATTTATACTGGCACCGACGCCCGCCCAACTCGGCCGAGCTCCGTTACAGAGACGTTTGGGCAGTCTGGTTGGTGGAGACGCAAACAGTACGTATTTTTTGCGAAAATTACTTCAATGTTGCGGTAACTAATATTTCGTTCTCGATTCTCTCAGGTCAACCACAAATTGTCAGCAACGAAGCCACTTTGCCCAATACACAACCAATAATTCCGACACCAACTTCAGTGCCATCCGCATTGCCAACGCCAAATTCAGCTGTCATGGACGATTCACAACAATTGTCACCGAACATGCAGAAGAAATCAATGTTCAAAAAAGGCAAAGGCGAAGATTTAAACAAGTGAGTGTCTTCGACAATGTGTTGCATTCGTTAAACAAACAGTTTTATTCGTTCCGAAATAATATTAAAATTCATCTCTAATAAAGACGTGTCATTTTTAGTGTTTTGCGGCAAGTGGATTTTGAGAAAAAGTTTCAAACATTGCCACGATTCAAACCGGAAGATTGTCAGTCGCCAAGTGCTATATCAGTGCCATCTTCACCGCGTGTATTCTCGCAGAACTATCGCAAAAAGGCTCAACCGCAACAACAGCATCAGCCACCACATTCAGCCAAATCATGTAAGCCGATTTACATTGATTCAATTGTTTTTGATTTTACCCAGATTTCACCCAAACCAATGGAACAAATAATAATGTGCATGGTTTAAATTTCTAGTTTATGAAGATGACCAACAACCAAACAGTGCAATATCCACGGCCACACCACCCGCTGTGGTTGGTAACCGATTTTTCGGGCCCGATTTTAACATTGAACAAGTCAAAGGTACGTGTAAACGTTTTATCGTGAACATTCGCAGAATTAAAACGATGGATTTTGTGCAATGGTTATAACGTATCATAGCCACTGCAATACAATAGCCGTTATAATGCTCACACGCAAAGTGTCGACAACTAACGTATTTTGTAGGATAATCGTATGAGATGCACAAATCCTGCTATTGTTATACGCGCTATATGGAGTACAATGCCATTTTTCATATCTTTCAGATTTGAACACAAATGAAGATCGTTCACCACGTACACCGCGAACGCCAATTCAATCGCTTGGAAGTGCCAACAACGCGGCACCTCGTTCATCACAGGACGTGGCCGCTGAGAAAGGACACCGCAAAACATTGGAACAACGTCGTCAGCTTGTCATGGAACTTTTCAATACATCAGGAATGTTCCCTAGCTCAAAAGACACAACTGAATTTCAGGTACGTTTAAATGGTCGAATCGAATAAGAAATTGGTTCAATTTGAATTAAACGTTTGTGCTCAAATTTAATATGCTTTTTTCCTCTTTCAAACGTTTATGCTGGCAGATGAAGCACAGTGATATATTTCCAAACAAGCAGAGTTTGCAGCTGAAAATTCGTGAGGTTCGTCAGAAATCGATGAGTCAGCCAGGTTTCACGCCTGGTCCACAATCGGCCGGACCAATAACGCCATGTGAATCGATTGCTGCTACACCGACATCAACAACATTGTCAACCACAAATTCAATAGGTAAATGATCAACGACACACACACACACACAACAACAATAAAAATGGATAAATCAAATGCCGACTGTTTTTGTCGCTTTGCAGATGATCAACAATCCCAAAAACAATCAAATCAACCATAAAAAAACACTTGGTTTATCTACAACAACTTTTACCCATCCCGTCATCTGAATAAAGAGAAACACGCATTGTAAGAGACCCAAACGGCTTTCAGCTAATTGTAAATAATGGAGCAAGAAAAAAACACACACGAAACCAATCTCAATCGAAAACGTATGATTGCATCATTGCGATTATTTTGCCGAATGGATTGTGCGTATGCCTCATTTGAGGCACAAATCATGAATTTACATTGAAAAAGATTATTAAATGGAAACAAAACAAAAAAACAATTGTTGATATAAGCTAAATGTGATTGCGTGATTAGAATTCTATGCATATTTTCAGTGCGTCACACTCTGAATTTAAACAAAATATTTTTTAAAAAAACACTATACTAACTCCTTCCCATCCCTTTTTCGGATAAATTCAAAAAGGATGGCGAACCATTTCATTTTATCCCAATAACGACTTTTTTTTTTAATTTGAAAATACTTTTGTTTTAAACTTCTTTTTTTTTAAATAATTCTTCTAAACAAATCTTTTATCAATTATAAACGAGAAAAAAAGAAACTTTTATTTACATAAATTGTGAGAGAAAAAAAAGGCAAATGTTATTTGTAAAGCAATTTCATTTAAGCATCGTAGAGGATACAACCACAAATACAATCTGTTACTACACTAGATATCGTTTAAGCCGGCAAAATGCCATCAAATTTTATCGATTAACTCACACACATACATACACAAAGTAAAAACAAAGAGAGAGAAAACAATTCATTCATGTTTATAAATTAGAAGGAAAATTTTTAAATGTGCTAACAAATGGAAAGAAAAAAGAAAACAAAAACCAACGGAATAACAATGGACGATATCCGAACAATGACACTTCGGATATCGTTGGATGAAGAAGAATTGTATTTTATCACTGATAAAAAAAAATCTATACATTGAAAAGAAAACATGTAAAATTTAAGCCAATTATGTATATCGATCATAAAAATGGATACGATCAATTGAACATAGGGCGGGGAAAAAACCTACACACAATAAAAAAAATAAACAAACAAACAAAATGATTATTAATCTATAAAAGTACTGTCCTCTTATTATATATATACACACATTCTATTATATATTATATATATACATGTCTCATAGATGAGATGTTTTGATTTCGTTCGTTCGTGGTGATTAGTAATGCAACAAAAAAAAACATGTGAAAAGTTAAAACACTAGTGTGTTAACGATTTATGTTATAGATTTAGTAAGACGAAAAGTGAGAAAGCATGAATGAAAACAAATTGACACAATCAGTGAATGTGAGAAGAGAATACGACGTGTAATTATACGTATATATACAATGAATACGGCTAAAATAGAATAGATAAAGAAAATGGACAATTTTGGTACAAATGCATGAAAAAAAACAGAAAAATTCAATAAAATCTAAATACGAGTGAAAATCTTAGATTTTATGGATTAAACATATATACCTATATATACACACATATACCTATATATAAATGAGTAACAAAAAAAATCCTGATAATATACGGACCGAATGTGGTCAAATCACAAATATTTTTCTGACCGACAACAATAGAACAACATTTAAATTCAACAGTGATGAATTGAGGTGCGATCGTTTTCAGTTTGCCGATACCGCAAACGTGAGTTCAAACTCAACATGGGATTTAGTTCGGTTCAACAATGTGTTCGGCTACGGTTTTAAGGTTTAACACAGTAAATATGACGAAAGTGGCCAGAACAAGCAGACAAACAATTAAAATAGAACAAAACAAACTAAACATGTTATGAAATATCAGTTCTTGTCATACAAACTGTCTTCTTCATCACAAAACTCTTGCCTAGATAGAACATACAAGCATAGACAACCGATCGATGGAAGCATTTTGCACATTTCAAGCACGTTCGGTTTTATTTTATTTTTTCTGTTTTTCTCACCAATCAGATTATCAACAACATACACACATAACAGAGAAATTACAATCAAAGTGAACAGTATTCACTGAACACCCGAATTTTATACATAAATTTGGATGTATTACTCAAAATTGTTTCTTAAGCCGAACAAAAAGAAAACACACACACACACACACGCGCGCGAATCTTTTCATTTTAGCGACAAACAATTTTCAAACACTTTTCGTGCGTTATTAATTCTTGAGTCAAGCATCTTGACACGTATTTGATATTAAAGAAAAAAATTAAAATAAATAAATGTAGATCTCGTTTAAAAACTGGGAGTAGTGAAATATGAACAAATTGTTAATTTTCGGTTAAATTTTTAAATGCATGTTCCTGTTGATTATTTTTGGGTGATGCCAGACCTTGTTGAGCTATATGAAAAACCAAATCGGTTGTTTTCTTTTATCCTCCAAATAGCATATTGCCCTCGGGCACAATCTCTCACACACACACACACACATATATATATATATAGTTGTACGTTTCAAACGACCACCATTATTTTTTACATTCAAAACGCGCATCATCGCAATAAAAGACAAACCATTCGATGATGGCTATACGTTTCACGACTAACAAAACCCAATTCAATCAATGTTCAATTTTACTTATGCTGATGACAGTTATACAGGAATATAAACAAATCGTAGGGACAAAAATAAACGAAAGAAGGAGAAAAAAAAACTGTGAGAATGGTTTCTAAATTTTACAAATCTATGTAGATCTTGCAAATGATAACAATATTAATTAAAACCAAACACACACACATGCAGAGAGAGAGAAAGAAATAAAAAGAAATCAATCCATCATCATTAGTTGAGAATAGTCATTTACAGATTTTGCTGCATCAATTTCGAGCTAGTACTTTTCAAAAGGATGAGATAAAAAATAATGAAGGAACACAGCAATTAAAATGAAATGCATACAAACATTGAGTGATTACGAGAGGTAGGCGGAAAAATTGCGTTTTCAAAACATTCTTTGTGATTTTATGGATGCAGCAGAGTGCAAAAGGGAAATAGCAAACATTTATCCTCTGTACCGAACAAATAAAAAGAATTGCAACAAAATCCATTGATGAAAAAAATATTTAGGTTTTAGAACATTTGCAATATCTATTTTTGATTTTAACATGTACATTTTGTTTTAACGCTCGTTTAGTTTATTTCTATTTAAGGTGATATTTTTTTCTCTTCAGCTGCTCTAAACAACAAATGATATAGGCATATGCTTAAGATTTTACGATTGAACGATTTTTATCAAGTCAATTTCTTATGTTCATTTTCAATTTACTTGTACACGAATAACGAAAAGAAAAAGAAAAAACAAGAGTGTGGTGACATTAAAACGGAATATTATTTAAAAATGCTTCCACAATTAAAAAAAAAAAAAAACAAAACAAAACACAAATATAAAAAAAAAGATGGAAATAGACCAGATTGCTTGTATTATCATCGTATCAGTGTCTAATTTCTTTGAACTGTCCTAGTATTGAAGAAAAATGCAGAAAACCATACAACAGACAACAAAAAAAGACGTTCAAAATCAGACAAACCACTAATCATAAACAATAAACTGAATTAAGTAATAGTTTTTAGAAGAAATTATAACACGCAGCGTGGAGCAATGACAAAGAGATAACAAATATTACAAATACAATAGCCCAAACACACTCACATTTTATGTGCAGCATTCATGATGATATAAAACGCTGGTGCACAATGAAATAAAACCACAGGCTTAACAACTTAAAACGGAATATAAGTTTAAAAAAAAATTCATTTGCTATTAGCAATACAGAATGCTTAAAATAGATGGAACAGAAGAATAAAATCGGTAGTAAGTTGGTCCAACGGGATGAAAGTCTGGATCGTGAAAAGGAGAGATCAATTATTTTACAGACCGATACCACTAGATTATTATTGAATATAAGGCATTCATAAAAACACAACCACATCCAATTTACCATCGTCTCTTGTCTCTTGTCTCTGTCAAAGCATCACTATCTTCTCCCAGAAAACTGTTCCGCTCTCGTGCTCCCCTGTGCAAATCATCTCTTCCTTCAACTTAAACCACACACAACAAATTCGTATCAAATTAATAAAACCAACACCCATACACACAGACAAAAGAGTCCCTTGGTTGTTGTTTTCAACTCAGCTCCACCCCCCTTGATAATCATTTCTCAGTCCATCAATTAACCATAGAACATAGCAAACTATTTAGTATTTTCAGCACATACACACACAATTTAACCATACTAGTAACAAAATAGCCAATTACATTTATGTATTTAACATTTCAGCATTAGAAAAGCTTAACAATTCAAGCCAAAAACTGAGAATGGGTTTTAGAATTATTACATTATTTTATTTGCTTTTTTGATTGAAGTGGACACAAAAAAAAGACAAAAATTCAAATGAAAAATGTAAAATCGCAAAGTTTGAAAACGTTTTTATCGAGAGGAGAAAATCAATTTTACGAATATGTTGAAATCATGTTTTTCTTTCTTCTTCATCAATTCAACATTGATTTAACCAAAAACAAACAGTTTTCTAAATAAAATCATGCTACTTAAACTCAACACAAATATAAATGATGATAACGTGTTTGTATGAAGAACAGCAAAAGCAAACAAACGAAACAAAAGAAAATAATCGATAGATAATTTAGTTGAACATGTAACCTCAATGGATGATAATTTTAAGTTACATCAATGATCATGAATTGAGTTTGAATGGATAAAGCACAGCTAATATTGTGGTTAGACAAAATTAAACAATGAATGTTCACACAACAACAACAACAAAAATGATTGAAAAAACACACACACAAATAAAAATGTCAAAAATAAAAGAAGCCATAAATAAATACAAAATTACCGCATTTTTTTATTCTTTATGTTTCTCCCTTGTTGAATAGGTTGGAGTTGTATTGACAAGGAAATGTTGAACTCTGTTCAGACCAAGTGTTTGCTTCAGTTTCAAAGTATTTCGATTGCACTTGCTAAGATTACAAAAATAATATATCGTACGGACGATTTGTCCAAAGATGGGGATGAATTATGTAGAACCTTTCTCTGTCAATGGTTCTTTCAAAAGATGCAATTGCACAGCGAAGATTTCCATATTTTATTCGCCAACCGCAAAAGCCGATGTTATGATGGTAGGTAATCAAACAAAGCAAATACACTCGATATTGGATTGACAAACGGTTTTTTTTTGTTCCAGTTGGGCCAAAACGTCAAAAATATACGTTTTGTATCATTAGATTTTACCTGAGCCCCACGAATTTGATGCAGAGAGTGCATATTTACTGCTGATCAGGCCTAAGCTGAGCTGAATTTGCTGACTCAGGCGCCTGAAGCGGTATTTAACGCACTTACGGCTCAATATAATTGATGAACAACGTGGATTTCAGCTAGCAATGATAATTTGGCACCGCAATTCTGTTAAAATACCACTTCAGACGCTTGAGTCAGCAAATTCAGTTCAGCTCAAACCTGCTCAACAGCAAATATGCACTCTCGGTTTTTATGCAATGGCGGAATTGATTATTCTGTATTTGTGCTTATTTTGATTTTCGAGCACGATATTTTTTAAAAATAAATATTGAAGTTCATTCGATTATAGCTCCAAAGTCATAACATTGGAAAAATTTATACCTCTCTGTATTTGCTTACATATAACACGTTGACGTGAAATTCGTAGAATGACAATATGATTATAGTCAAACCATAGAGCGGCTGTTGAGACACGAAAGTAAGCTTAAATTGAAGCGAAAGAGCACCTCCAATCAATGCCAATCCACATTAATGTCATTACAAATTCAAATCGAAACTAAACAGCGCGCCAATTTAAAAAAAATCAACTTCGTGCTATTTCTGCCCCTTAAATCGAACCAATCATTTAAATTATACTTCCGTCTTTAGAATTTTCTCTGAGTTTTGGGCATAATTTTGAGAGATCTGAGAAAAATTCGTAATTTGTGGTGCTGATTTTTTGTTTGTTTTTATTGATTTAAAAAGAATTGGAAGAAAATGGTGCAAATATTTGGTAACAGCATAGCAAAAAATTCAAAGATTACGACTTCATTTTTACTTAGTTGTAAGAGTGATAAAGATCATGAAATAAGAATAAGTGTATTGAATTAGTCAAAAGTTTCATACAAAAATCATGTAAAATTTTGCCAGACACATTCTTTCAACATTTTTTCGTCTGACAAAAATTGACATGTTTTTTACATGAAACTTTTTTTGCAATTTTTTTTTTGCCCCAAAAGTAATAAGTTACTTATTACTTTACTTCTATAATGAATAAGGGGATACGTAATAAATAACATCATTGCATTTCAAAACATGTGTCGTTCAATAGAATACGAAGTACGTGGTCATTTTCCACTGTTCTCACGGTCGTGTTCAATCAAAAACATTCCCCGATTTTGGCCTTCAACGTGTTTGTTTTGGATTGTTGTCAATTGTGAAAAAAAAAATCACAGTTCCTTTCAGAGTTTGACTCAGGCGACAGATATATGCTTTAGCATAGAAAAAATATCCGCATATTTTTTGGTTATATAACGGTACCCAGCTTCATAGAGTATCAGCACGCACACTGAACGAATGGAGCGAAAATGTAATAAATACAGAAAAGCTGAGCGGAAAAATGTCAAATGAAAAGGGATAGCTATATAGTTCACTATAGTTTACTATACAGTTTACTCTATAGCTTTCCCTTTTCCGCTCATTCATCATCGAAATTTTTCCGCTCAACTTTTCCGTATTACATTTTCGCTCCAAACCATTCATTTGGAATTCATCATTCAAGACCAGTAAATCTTGGGTCACAAAATCATTTCAAGGTGGATCTGTTACTGTTTAAAACACAAATAAAATGAAAAAATGTAATTCTCATGATAACAAATTCATTTTAGTTTTAATGAATTTTTGAATTCATAATACAAATGTCTTTTCGTTGCATTTAACTCCATTTTGAATGGTCATAAGGTCTAAATTAAGACATAACTGCATATATCTCTGTCTTATAACAGAAACATACAATTTTATGAAGAAAAAGCAACTCAAGAATTTCAACATTTCTCATGATCTTCAGGTGATCAGAGGATTCAATAACATTGGCGCTACTGTTCAAATTGTTGACTGTGTCTTCATTCACGATTTTTTACATTTTTTTAGTTATAATCCATGGCCAATTGATTTCCTTTCAGTACAACGTGCCAAGTCCTGAAATGAGAACAGTTTTGGAAAAAAACTTTCATGTTGTATAATTGTCGACGAGTTTTTTCTTGTGTTGAAATATTTCGTTATTTCCTTCAAACGGATTACTTTGAATCGATCATTTGAACACAATGTGTTGTTAAAAATGATACAAGGATAAAATGTAAATAAAAATTTTCCTGGTGTCGCAATACGCTAGAAAAATCGATCAACCCACTTCAATTATACTGAATCGTAGCACCGCCTTTGAAGCCGTTCCATAATTTTCCATAAAGACGAATCCATTTCCGTTGACCACTATCGACAGCATGTGCAAAGTTCTCACTACGTGGACTTTCATATTCTTATACACGAGCTTACCTTATTGAATTTATTTGAATTTTACTGAATTCCAAAACGAAATTCAGCTAGCGAACATATTTGACTTTTTTCCAAATTTAAAATGGAAAGGATCATCGTGGAAAATGGTTGCAATGCGTAATGGAATAACAATGAGGAACATATTTACATATGTCTAGGAATTGTTCAATGTTAAACACAAAAATGTTTTGGTTCCGAAAAATATTGAGTCACGGCTGAATGTAGATTAGGCAACAATGAGCAATTGAAGAAGAAAGTGCCATAGAATATAGCATAGCTGGATCGATGGATAGATAGTCATTACACGTGGGATAAAGACAATGCCGCTTCCATTGTGCTTTCGATGAGATGTCAACCAACGATCTATTTGAGTCGAACTGCATCGCATGAAATTTCCTATGGCACTTGATTAAAAATTAATCAACTAATGCACACTCCGATGTGGCCACATGTATTTTATCCAGTTGTACTATTGCACGGCTATATAAAATTTTTATTGACTTTAAATCCTTGTAGAAACTTTATGGAATCGATCGATAGAACGTTAGAAAAGTGGAAGAGAAAAGTTATTTCAGAGTATCCAATCTTACAGATCTTACAGGAAAAGACATGTTTGGAAAAGAGGGTTAATTGACTCAGATAAATAAGAATAAATATGATTTTTTCCCGTTTATGGCCCTGGTCCTCGCTTTATCCGGAATGTTAGAGAATAAAAAAATATTTTAATTCATTTTGCATTTTATTTTACTTCATTTAAAACGACAGACCAAGTGAAGAGCATCTGTACAATTATTGTAAATAAATCGAATTCTAAAATAATAATAAATTTAACGTTTCTTCCATGTGAATTTGCGTCGAGCACCTTCTTGACCTGGCTTCTTACGTTCTCTTCTTCGTGGATCCCATTTCAGCAGTCCAGCTAAAGAGAAAAATGAAAATTCAATTCAAATTTCATTTGAAAATTCAGCAACAGATCTGGAAATTCGTATGAGAAAAAAATATGTGCAATATCTGGATAACTTACCAACGCGCATGTCTTCAATTGTTGCTTCATCGACAAAGCTTCGAAGTCCAAGTGCAATACCATAGCGTATAGCTCCCGCTTGTCCCATGTATCCACCATCAACTGCGTTTGCCACAATGTCCACTTTGTCAAGCATATTCGTGAAATGAAGCGGGAACAAAACCTAATCAGATGAATACAAATGTTTAAATTTAGCGATTATATAGGAAAAAGCGACATCTTTATTGATTCACTGAAATCGATTACAACAAAAAAAACACATGTGATTCGAATTCAATCGTCTATGTATGTAGCAAACGTTGGTATAAAACCATAATATGAATCAACGTTTGTCGGTGGAACAATTGTTGAAAATTGATCTCAATTATCAAATTAACGACATGTATAAAAATAGAGAAAGAATCACACGACGATCGTGAGTAATAATCGAGTCTTCAGCCATGTTGTAAATAAGTTTATATCTTCGCCTTGAATTTAGCTGTTCTCTCTCTATCTCTCGCAATCTGATATCAGATTTTCATTAGGTAAAAGTTTAAAATCATCTGTGATTTTACTTTATTAGTGTGAATAAGCCCAAATAATCCATTTTGAACGAAATAAGCGATTCTGCTCCCTCTCTTGATTTCAACAACAATCCCAATAATTCTATTCATTAATAATGTTTAGAATGGCAATGCCAAGCTATTTCAAAAAGATCCCCAAGAAAAAACTGTCGATACATTTCTGTAAACTTATTCGACTGGATATTTCGTCGTACTGCCCGTCTCTTTATATTTTTTTCCTCCTTTATCTCAGCTGGTGTTTCCAATGAACTGTAATTGAATTCAATTATATACAGTTCTTTTTTTCTTTCTTGAGCGGTAAGCATGCGGATTTGAGCAGTATAAAGAATTTGTATTGAGTCGCATTTCTTGCGATTTATTTAAATTGAAATGTGCGTCATAACTCGAAATATGAAGATGTGTTCGCACGAAGAACCAAACGAATGGAACGGAAGAAAAATTAATTCAAGCAAAACTTAATTCAAACACTTCGAATAATTTATCGGAATGGCTACAATGTGTGTACATGGGAAACATCTATCATTTGTATTGACATCAAACTGGAAGCGAATAAATCTCATTTAATTATTTCATCAAAATGATTTTTTCTAATTGATAAAAGTGGTTGGCTGTGCAGTGGCAAGGCACGTGAATGACATCTGTTTGATACGTAATTATCACACCGTTCTGGTCAAATAAGCATCTCTCTTTCTCTATTGAATTCGCACGAAACAATGGATTCACAAACAAACCGTTGTCCATGGGAATTTTATGGCATTAATGCAATTGTTTCGCTCGGTTCGATGTGTTTGTGTGTATTTATCAAAATACAAAACCGAAACACAATCGGCTCGGGTACACAATCTAATTGTCTGATCGACACAGTTGACCGTTTGAACTATTTGATTTATTGAATTTAAAGCGGGATTTTCATACATGAATCGAAATAAAAACGACAAATCGGAAACTGTAAGTCAGACAATGATCACATCAAACGGGTTATGTCATTTGGTCTTTTGGCCGACTCTGGCATATTCACATATCAAACTGAAAACTAGCCAAATGCTATGGGGTACATTATTGCTGTGGATGATTTCCAAAGTGGATTTAATGAAAGGTCAAATAAGTGGAAATCTTTGGCCTGATCTCGTCTTCAAAGACAAAAAGCGCTAATTTGATTTAATTGAGAACATTTTTCTTTCTTCAATTGTTTTACTCAATTAAAAAGGAATTCATTGAACAAAGTGTTTTACCTCTGCATAAATTTAACTACCCAATCGACAGCAAGCACTTTATTTTCTATAAAAATCTGAACAATTTTACAACCGACAAAAAAGTAAAAGTTATCATTTTTTCTGCTTATTAAATAATTATATTTATTCATAGTTGATAATTGACTTAATCATAAGAGAACTTAACTGCGAACTCACTTAATTGTATTGTTATTAATTTTTTTTTGTAAAAATAGCCGAAATGCTACTATATAGCCAAAGTTCAACAAAAATCATACAGTAATATAACGTATATGTATAAATTACTTTGACACTTGTTTAAGCTTGAAAAATATCACAATTTCATTTTATTTAATTGTTTTCCTCATTTTTCACGCCGACGAAGAAATGTCGACGACTTCATATTCTTGGCACAGTTCTATTTCAATAGTATTCATTGTTATTCAGTGTACTATCATTAGGTCACGTAAATACGGTATAAAATTTTGTTGCAATGCATCTCTCAAACTCAGAATAAAAGGAACCATTCAAATTTTGGTTTGTTTACTTCTCTAATATGGTTATCTTAATGTTTGAAGTTTTATTTTATAGTTTTCGTTTATGTCAATGAATATGGTTTAATTGTTGGGGCAATTGCCATTGTTCCTTCATCTACATATTTATCACTTTTTTCACACTTTTTATGGAATTGTAATTCTATAAATTTAAATAAGTAAACTAAGGGCACATTCACGATTCATATGTATATGTGATACGTAGTAATTTTCCATTGAAAATATAAACATTGTTGAATTCGATCAATCTTTTTTTGTTTGGTTGGCGTTGCTCTTATTCAGATTGTTTTTAGCATGTTCACTGTTGCCATTGCTGTTGTTGCTGTTGGTACTGTTGCTGCTGTTGTTGTTGCTATTACCGTTGCCATTGCCCGATTGAATTCTATTACCGATATTATTGTGACAAATGCTGTTGAGTGGCCGATTATTTGATGTGCTGATATTATTATTAATGTGGTTTGTATTTGAATTTTGTGGCGAATGCGAAAGACTTCGATTCAGGCTATTTTTATGTTGATTTGTGATGACGGTTAGCAGTTGATCAATGACTTGATGATTTTGCTGTAGAACCATTTTCAATTCGGATATTTCTTTGGTGAGCGCCTCAATTTTTTCCGCATTGTCATCGATTTTATTGGACAACGTTCCCACACTCTCCGTATCAAAACCATAGTCCGATTCATTGATGCGATCATAAAAATTTGTACTGTCACTCATCATTTTGTATTTTTGTGCGTAGTGCGGTGAATAAGTGTTTGGATTCGATATATATGTTGTATCGAAAAATTTCCGTTGCTTGCCAACTTCGTAGGCTGACATCAAAATGTCCTTGGGCAAACGTTTTTCACCCGGATTCAGCGGCTTTACACACAATACCACGCGATACGCTTGCGGTGACACCAATGCAGTGTAATGTAGCAACTTTCGCAGCCATGTGGGTAAATAGCGATTAAATAGAGCCGATTCAATGTACGATATAAGTTTGGTTTGTCGCACCAATTTTGAGAGTTCAGCCGTTTTTTTCAGCGCTTGAATGTCGTGCACAGCAATTCCGACCAGTAAATTCATTAGAATCACCGTCACGAACAACAAAAATAGCACGAATGTAATTTGAGCACTAATCTCCAGCAAAACGGGCGGATCTTTGCCATCCGGATCATTTGTTAGTAGGCTCAAATCTTGTTCACCAATCATCATAACAAGCACGGTAATGAACCCCATCAAGGGATTCGCAAACACTGGCGATGACGGAAAGATAACACAAAAGCTTATTGTAAATCCCACCAGCATACAGGAATAAGCCATGAATAGCTTAGCAAATTCACCCTGTACTTTCGTATACATGGCTACGTACACACCAAATATCGGCAGCTGACCGATCATCAGCATTAAATTTGTCCAACCTAAAAGCACGGCAAAGGCCGCTGTAAATTTTAAATAAACATACATTAAATTCCAAGAAAATGCGAGATTTATTCGAAAGGATAAAATCCGATAATATGATAAAAATTGATTTTAAATGTTTTTTCTAAATTTTTTTTGCTAAGAAAATTGATAACAGCTCATCGTTACCTATGTGATTTTGCCAGATATCTGTTCGATTGTTGTAAATGTAGGATGTAAGAAACACGCTTACTATGACGAACCACTCGATGATATTTTCCACTTGTGAAACGTACCTACGCACCGACGTATATCCCGTTAAACCGTAGAGTTTGCGAAATATTTCAAATATAATGATGACAACGAGCACCCACCATTGCATCTCAATCACAAATGGATTTGTTCGGAGTAAATCGCCCAAAATTGACTGCTTTTGACAGAGTTCCTGGTCTTTAATCGTCTCATTCATGAGCTTGCTGCCATTGTAGCAGGTGTGTGCGAGTGCAGTCAAAACATACAGCGTAAGGAAAAGAACGGTACAGAAGCAAAACACCAATCGGCCGATATAATATTTTCGAATTTTTCCCCATTTGATGTACAAAAATGCAGAACAAAGGGGGTGCTCAAGAAATTCTTTTTGGCCCTCATCGACGAACGTATTTAAATAGCTGATTTCTCTTGGATGGCAATGCTGTAGCAACTGTCGAAAGTCCAGCTCGAGTTCGACTTCTCGTGTTGCATTCTCTTGGGATTGGTGTAGCGTGATTGCGGCATCCAATTTTTGTGTTATCATTGCTAGTGACGTCGGTGTTTTTCGCGTGATAACATTCAATGCAGTAGTTCCTTTCTTCGATTTTGTCGTCACATCCGCACCATAAAAAATCAGCATCTCAACGCATTGAGCCAAACCGTCGAGTGCGGCCAAATGCAATGCCGTAAACCCGTATACATCTTTGTGATTGACATTGGCCCCTTTGGCAATTAGCAATTCCAAAATACTAAATGCCGATTCGCACTTGCTGACTGCAGCATGCAAGGGAATCCGTTGATCAAAATCTTCTGCATTTGGATCGGCGTTTCCATTTTCCAATAATTCCTTGACACATTCCAAACTCGAGGTGCGGCAAGCCAAATGCAGTGCCGTAAAACCGCGATGATTTTTCAACGATGCATCAGCACCTTTGGCAAGCAATAATTTAACACAGTGCACATTTCCTTCGTCCGATGCCAAATGCAGAGCTGTCGATTCTTTTTCACGTATACAAATCCTTATGTTCGGATCGGCACCTTCACTATCCAACAATATTCGCAGGCATTCGTGCAAACCCAAATCGGCGGCTAAATGAATTGCATTCGTTCCGTTAGCTTTGAGTGAATTCACGTCAGCACCTTCATTGATGAACAATTGCACACATTCGATTGCATTTGCCCGAACGGCGCACTGCAACAGCGATTCCTCACAATTGGCTTTGTTTGTATTTGTTGTGATCGAAGCACCATTTCGTATCAGCAATTCGGCCGTAGCAACTGAATTACCAAATGCGGCACAATGCAGCGGTGAATAGCACTTTGGCTGACTTTGCACATCAACACCAAGATCAATTAAAAATTTCACTGATTCAACGCATCCACTGAACGCAGCCAGATGTAATCCAGTGATGCCATTTGGATCGCAAAAATGCAAATCGGCACCGGCTCGCAGTAAACCGTCCAGTAAATCGGCTCGCTTCAAAAACGTCGACCACAAGAACGCGATATTCTTTTCACCTTTGGTCGCTCCTTCCATATACAATTGAATATTGTTTGCCGTAATCTTCCATGTTTCGGTATTTGAATCGAATGATTCGATGTCTTCAAGTATTCTCGTTCTACCGCCGACCATTTTCATTTGTTCGATTAAATTCACACGAATCGTATCGCTGCATATTTGTACGCTCAACTCCGAGCTGGGTTCTTCGAAACTGTCGTACATGCTGGGCGCTGATTCAGCCGGTGGCGATGGACCACACTCCATATATTCAAAATTGCCCGACGATGGATACTGTTCTTCAAGCATGGCATCCACGTTGTTCGTTCGCCAACGGACCATATTCGACTGAGTCGGCTTGAATCTGTGCAAAATACAAATCATCATCAATTTTCTTTCCACTCAATTAACGCTTAATTTTGGGTTTGATATCAACAAAAAATATGTTTTTTTTTTAAATATATTTGTACCATTTTAATTTTTCAAACGTGAATTTCGGCTAGTTTCGAATTGTGTGGCTTATGTGTGAATTGTGATTTCGAAGAAAAATTTGGAAGAGAGATTAATTAAAATTTAATTGACCACGTTTTGTAGTGCGTTAAAATCTATAACACGAATCACTTTTTATCACGCAAAAAATTAACATGTTGCAAATCAGTCGTAGTGTTTCTTAAAAAAAAACAAATTAAATTAAATCATATGGACTTTGTTCGGAGTAAACAATTCGAAATGAATGTCTAATTCAGTGAACGAGATAAGCACACTCTGTTTGAATGATTTCAATAAAACTTATAATTTATCCGCAAAAATGTACTACTAAAGCCGTCTAGTGGCGAAGTATGACTGAACTATACACGAAATGCAACTGACACACTGCCACACGCTCCGCCGTCAAAATATGGGTGCAAGGCAAACCGAAATGTGCTGATATGAGTGTTATGGACTTTCGATCGATTATTGTCTTACCTTGATAATGGAATTCCTTCGGCATCAACGGCCAGACTCGCCGCTCGAGACATGCGTCGATGTTTCGACAATTTGGACGTTCCTTCGCGATATCCCAAATTTTCCATTGCGTAATTTATTCAATTTGTTTCTCAGTGATCACTTGTTTTTTTTTTTATTTCTGTGTTGGTTTGGATGTTTTTCTTCTTCCTCCCTTTTTTCACAATAATAACTGCGAATCGTTTTTTTGTTGGTCGCACATTTTTTGCATAGTTTTTTTTTTGCTTCCGATTTCGGTTGTTTTTCTATTTATTTCAAGTTCACATGCACAGTGACACTCTTAGGTAGCATTCTGTTTGCCATTCACTATAATATGACTGTTTTGTAGCTGATTAGCAATGTTTATTAGATTTAAAGCACTGAAATATTTATTATACAACGCATTACTTCCTATAAACGACACAAAAATTCACATTGTAATTTTGTCAATCTGATGAGTCGACCACTTTTTTTTCAATTCGAAACTGAAGCTTGTACAGCACGAGTTTTTTTCTACTTATCACGACTATTTGTCTCTTTTTTATTACATTTTGATGAAGCTAAATGTGAACTCAGTGGGTGTGCCGTCAAAATTGTCTGGTATAGAAGTTCATTAGCCTTTTTTGATGGTGATTTCTGATTACACATTTTCGGCCAAATAACGGTAGATGCATTTCAGGAAGAAACCGTGCTAGCCGACCATTAGTTACTAGTTGAGTTATATCATAAGACCATTAACACTGAATTAAGTGGAAATGTTGATTATTCCGCAAATTATGTAGAACTATCGATGAGATTGAGAAATAAATGTTCTGTTTCTTCAGACATCTGTAATCAGATTAAATCAACTGGAGAATCAATGTATAAATGGCGTCGGATATTTCGTAAATCTTAAATTCAAATTATAGTATACCGTAAACCGTACTTATCATACGAAAAATTCAGAGAAATTGAAGATCGATAACAGAGAACATGATATAAAACCATATTAAAATCACTTGAAGTGCCAATTGCATTTGAAATCGTCTGAAAATCGAATAATCTTATCAAACGGTGTATACAACCTTCAACGTCTTCTTTGAATCTTCATTTATCTCATTTAATTTCTCTTCGATTCGAAGAATTAGTTTCTCTGCGAGTCGAAAAAATGTCCACCGTTTAAAATTGGCCATTGAAAATGATTTGAAATGAAGTCATCATCAATCAGATTCAGCCTCGATATGTGCATAGAGCCATCGCAATCGACGGAGTGAGAGGGAAATGTGATGAAAAGAAATCTTGGCGAATAAATTAGAATGTTTTGAGTTTGTTGTGTGGCGATAGTGTGCCGAGTTTTATTTGGTGTGTGCTGCAGCACACACAATCAAAGCGACAACAGTCTTGGAATGTTCATTTATGAGCCCCATAACTCACAATTTTCTGAAATGAATTCAATTGAAATGGCAACGTCAGTGGCTTTATTGCAAAATTGCTTCAGGCAAACTCAAATCCGACACAAGACTCAACACAATCAAGCAGAAGAAAAAAAAAACACACAAATTTTCGTTTAGCGAAAAAAGGGAAGAGTTGTTGCTTCGCAATATGCAATAAAAGGCTTTGAATATGCGACTGTTGTTGCTTCAAATGATTTTTTGAACGGATTAAAAGCGGCCGAATTTATGGTTTAATTAAACACTAAAAATTGTTATCAAAAATGGAAATTCACGACGACAAATGATAACAACGTAGACAGATTTACGAAGTTTAACGTGAGCTAAGCATCAGTTTCGAATTGAGAGGAAAAAAAATTATTTTCACAGAACATTCAACTAAAATAATTTAATTAATTACCGATAACGACTAACACTTTATCGAAAAAGATCACTATAAAAAACGATTTTTCAACTCTAATCCGAATCACGAGATATAAAGAAATACCGATCTAAGCTGTGCAACGGTTAAAGATCAACTGACTTAAATTACAGTTAAATTAAGCGAAAAATCGCAAATGATCGAAAGAAACGAACAAGAATACCATTCCCGCGCTCGCGAGATGGATACGATTGTGCGAAATGAGAAAGAAAAAACCAACGGTAGAAGATAACGTTTAATAACGAATTGCGACGAGAAACAGACACAGTACTCTCTTCTCTGACTTTGTTTGTATTGTGATCAGTGATCGCATTGATGTCTTGCGATTACTGTGATGCTGATCAAGTGTATGTGTGAAGAGAATTAAAACACATATTTCTATTTGAAATCTGTGTTCGTTTTTTCTCTATATGTTCGTCTATATGGTTCCGTATTCGAAATGAGAGGGAAAAAAACAGGCAACAAGGGACACCAAAAAATTACACGCTTCACTGGAGTTGGAATCGCGATAGAAAGCTTCGTATGAAGAGCCACAAAAAAGCGTCACACATACACACTTCCATTGAAACCATTCAAGAGAATACAGTCGAGAAAAAAAATTAAAATCAAAGCATCAGATGCCAGAATGAGAAACAAGATAAAACGATCGTAGGTGGAGATATTTAGTTTCAATTTGGCTACATACAAATCTTTCGCTTTGTCTCATTATTGTTGTTAATTCACACCCGATGTTATCGCCGCACACTTTATTATTCAGATTATGCTGTTTGCATGTTCTGGTGCGCACAGTGATATATTGTTCTTCTTCTTTCTCTCTTTCTCTTCTCTCTGTCTATGTCTATCAATCTTCCTTCCTCTCTCGCCCTCTGGACTGTGATACATCAGACAGAGTCCATGGAGTCAGCAGCGATTTTCCAACACTCTGACAAGCGTTCATTGTTTGAACGGTGATTGTACATACAATAATGATAATTGTTCTATTGCCGCTCCTGTGTAACCAATTGAATTGTTTAAAAAAAATCATTCCATGGAAATTGTTTACTTTAGTCACATTCATGAGATAAACCGTTTGTTCGTTATTTTTTGATGCGTAATTGTAGCTAGCACAACAAGTCAATGAGAACCGAATACGATTTCTTGGAAATTCACCAAATTGATGCGCGCCCATTAATCACCGCCACTTTTAGCAATGATTTTATTTTTGAATTGTCTAAAATCGTTTTTTTTGTTGTTGTATTTCCAGTATTCTGTGATTGAACTTACTGATGAAAATGAAGTAATAGTAAAAGTGAACTTCATTGACTAGGCCTAGTAATACTAAAAATCGAGTGCTTTTTTTCATCTGAAAAGGGTGACAATAAAGTGACTTGCACATTGTAGATTTACAAACAAATTCCTGGAACATTTCTTATTAAATAGATTAAAGATTATATTTCGTACGCAATTCCCGATCACATGATTATATTTGAATTGAAACAGTCTTTTCTTTTTCTGTAAAGATAATCAGTCATCTTGTTTTTTTCATCAATTTTTTTTAACCTAAATCAATGTGTGGAAAAATTAGATCAAACTTTTTTTTCGCAAAAAATTGCAATCCAGCATTGATAATATAGATGTCAACGGTGAAACAACATGAATTGACCGGTAATTAATGAACAAGCGAAATCGTTCGTGTCAAAACAAAACAGTTCCTAACTATTTGGAATGTGATTTGCATGTGGCGCGTGCTCTTCTATTGCTGTGTACACAGCTTGTAGCAGTAACTCTCTTATTTTCAATTAGTAATTCATGAGGAACGCGATTTGCCGGTGTGTGACACCAATAAAGTTTTTGTAAATAGAGAGACAACAAATATAATGACAATTTACCATTTTGCATGCGTGTTAATCATCATAATATTTGCTTGCATTTGGCAAAGCGGTTTTTTTTCTCGTTTCTGTCGCCTCTAAAAATATAAATCTTTGAGTAAATGAGCAAACACGAAAGATCATCGAACGATGGATTAAATGCAATGTTTGTGCGTGTTGGATGAATTGCGCACGTATCTGGGCCAGTGGATTTATGGTTTTTTTTTTTGTTCCAACAGCTACGTGTGATCGACGGCACATATCGCGTTTGATGATAAACAAGGACGCATGCACTCTACGAGAATGGCTCTAGATAACAGCGATATCATCTCTGGAAATGATAATAAACAGCATCGACAAACACAATTTTACTCAATGAATTCCACGGAAATCACTTCAACTTATCGAAGATGCGAAGATAAGAAAATTGTCTCTCGTGTCGCTTTTGCAGCACATTTAATAAGTTCAATTTGTACGGCGGTATAATTAATCGAGTGCATTATTCAGTCACTCTTTCTCTCTCTCTCTCTCTCTCTCTCTCTCTCTCTCTTTGTGCAAAATATCAACCGGTGCTGCATACATTGTGGGGAATTCACACAAAAAATGACATCATCGCGATCACCCGTGTGAATATGTATGTAATATTGCGAATTATTGCCATGAGTTGACAGTTTGATTGCGCCAAATATAGATGAATCTTTCGTACTGTCTACCAAAACGAATGTCAATCATTTTATGGGATCATAGCGCAACAAATAATGTAAATCACGTGTAAAGTTGAACTTATTTTTGTACACAAAAAATCGCCGAATCATTGGCACTGCCAAAATATTAGGCAAATGAGATGTCAACGGTATATTAATCGTTGGCATCAATCACATATTGACATTATGATTGGGAAGACTTCAATATAGTAATTATTCATAATGATATTAATGAAGGAACTTGTGAATCTTTTACGATACAAAATCGAGAGAAAAAAAACGTGGAACTGATAACACCAACAAAATAGCAAGCGCACACGTGTTCGATTTACTTGTAAGTTTAAATGATATTTATCTAATTTGCAACTTTTACATAGCATCGCTGAAATTTTATTGACAAGGTCATAAAACACTTTATCACATTACACAGAGATTCACGCGCCTGGCAGATGGTGGCAATGTGATGCTGATAATATTTATGTAGCCAAATATTTGACCAGAACACAACGGTCGGTCACGTTTTAAAGTAATGTGGAACGAGTGTGTTGAGATCACACATATTGTGATCATCACAACAATAACAACAACAAGTCTTAAGTGAACCAATGGAATGCGGGAGCAAACACATCAATTGCGTTAAATTAAGCATTATAGATTACAGCGTCAAAACTGAGCAGTCATTTTTAGCGTTAAAATAACACATCGGTCAATAAGTCCGTAGGATGACACAGAATTGTGTATTCTATCACAAAATCCATACCATTTCTAAAAAGTACAATCTTTTTTAGGAATCCTCTCAAAATTTCATTACAATCTGACCATTTGTTACCGAGTTACAGCTGTTTGATGCAAGTCACTTTCGAATTTTTCAAAAACTTGTGGAATTTTTGTGTTGATTTAACACTGGCATTTCAAAGACAAAATGGATAGAGGCATCCAATAAACATCAGAATTAGTTTACTATATCCCTGAACCATCGAAAAAAAAACTTGATACATAGAGAAATTGGATACAGACACAGTTATACGAGTAATTTTGTCGATAAACCTCCAAATTGGTCAAAAATGGTGGTTTCTGAAGAAATATTCAGAATATTCCAAGATATGATATCGGACGACCCAAAATGATGGTGCGCCAATTTGCTTTGATCATAAGCTAACTAAATGAAGCTATAGTTTTAACTTTATATAAACATAGACGCATGAAAGAGCCAATCAAAAATTGGGTGCCGCGTTTTTGTATTTTGAGCAAAAATCTCAACTTTTTGAATATTCGGAGCCCTGTTTGGGGCTATAAAAGCAAAATTTGAAGATGTTTTTGCACTCACATAATGAATAATGCGTTCATCCACCTATACCAGGGGTATGAAACGAATGTGAAAAACAATGCACGTATCTGGTATGTTACACGAATGCGAGCCTTTTTGCGTATGCGATGCTTTGAGTTTGATCACGGCCGGTTGCGATACCGAAAACCAGCAAATGTCGGCATTTTCGACGAAACTGACGTGAAGAACACAACAAAATTTCTCGTCAATCAGCGCGATTGGACTCACGGCAATGCGGACCGATATCGGAAAGTGCAGTTTTTGCTGAGCGAAGTGGTACGAATCGATGGCCCAGCAAACCACAACTTGAAAGATTTCGTTACCGAAGACTGGTTTGCATCGCTGCGCATGTGGTTCAAAATTCAGCGAAACATCAGCTATTTCCACACAACGTAGGGCATGCTGAACAGCGAATGGCCAAATAAAAGAGTGATCCTCTCACAAACAAGATGCCACTTGTGCCACGACCGCCAAAAGTAAAGAATTTCATCGCAATTCCCGTTCATGACTTCAATCTCAAGCACATTCGCATCGATTGCACGCTTTTCTTTCAAATTGCTCGTAATTTAGGCGTTTTGAATCATGCGATAGGAAAACGTGGCGGAAAAGTGTGCATCAGCGAAGAAACTTACAAGAGAAATCCGGCACAGTGTTGGAAACACGTGTTCAACATGAAGAAAATCAACAAAATCGGCGGCAGAAAAATTGAAATTCGATTTCTCGATTATTACTGATAGCGTTTCCGTTTCACTCACAGGCCCGTAGCCAGAAGGGTGCGTGGGGTGGCGGAGCGGGTATAATTTATGGAATTGAAATTAGAATGAGTTACATTACGTTCTTCAATAGTATTAGTCAACACAAGAAAACAGCCGAACGATACACTTCCAAACGAATTGCCGAACGACTTCTGAATTTTGTTTTATTCCATCTTCTATAATGACTTGATATTGAGACCTATAAAATCATTCTCTATATGCTTTTGTTTATAACGAATATTTATCGTCTGCGACATTTATTGTTTACATATATTCATTCAAAAACCAAAATTCATTCCCATGCTCTTATTCTTGAAAAGAGTGTTAGATTTATTGGAGCCAGCCAATAAATTGCATCAGTCGCGAGAAATGATCTACGTCAGAGCAATCCCACTGATTGATTTGGTCATCGAGGACATAAAAAAGTTACAAAATAAAAAAGTTTCAACGAATTTGAAACTAAAGCAACTGAATTTATGGTTGAAAATGATTTGCCGCTAGTCCAAGAAAGCTGAAATCGACGACAGTTGAAGAAAATTTTACAATAAATCAAGGGAAAATTAAGTTTCAGGATATTAAATATCAAAAATTTTCTATTGAAAAATTGAAAATTACGCGCCACCCCAAAAATTGGTCATGCCGCCCCATACAATCAATCCTGGCTACGGGCCTGTTCACTCATGTACATCAAATCGAACCGTACGCTGGATGCGAAGGATTTGAAGACAATTCAGGATATGTACCGTGAAGGACGATTCGTATATGAGCTTGCAATCGACCTTGGCGTTCGAACATGGAACGCAACCGTTCGTCGCACCGTTGCAACTGGTGATGAGGTAAGGCAATTGTAAATGAGTATTCATTTTCAGATAAACTAATGTACAAATTACTAATTGCTGTGGCATTTCATTGCTTTTTCATTTCAGGAAAACATCACGATTGCTGGTCAAACGTATCATTCGAGGGCGAAACGATCAAAACGTAGGCAGAAAGAAGAACGATGGCAGAGGACATTCAAGGGGCAACTACAACGCGACCTTCGGTCATATCCAGTGGTACCCTCGCCAAAGTCAAAGGATGCATGGAAGAGCTACATTTGTCATCCGTTGACTATGATGGCACTGGGAATTGCTGTGTTTGGAACGCGCAAGTACGCTCGCCTCAGTTTCGACAAATACGTGAAGTCAACTCGAGCCAGCGACAAAATTGCCGCATCGTTAACGAACAAAAAGCCATCAATGATTTACTTGGGCACAGCACAAATGGCACCGAACTCACCGATTGAAATCAAAAGACGATTGCGATGCCCCGGCATAAGAAAATTGTTGGCCAGCTTCAAGAAATTGAACAATTGCACCGTTCGTTTCGTCGATGAGTACTTCACATTGCAGACATGCGCAAAATGCTTTGGACGTTTCGATCCACGAACCAAACGAAATCGGTTCAAAGTTTGCCGACAGTTCTGGCTGAATGGGTATGATGGTCAAATATTGCCAAACAAAATCGTGACCACATTAAGTAGCCGAAAACTGAAGAAAGCACACAAAGAGGAGAAGGACGAACGAATGCAACAGAATGTGAACAACAATCAGCCACGTAACGCAGCCAATCCGACTCGACCAGCTAAAACACGTTTGGGGTCAAAACTTTGCAAATACTATAAATGTCATTCAAATCAAGCTGGTGACTTGGAGTGGTATGCGTCACACATAGATCAGAACGTAACCAATTGGCATCGTGACGTAGTGGCTGCAAAGTGCATTCTATACAAAGGTAAAATGATGAAATCGAAATGATTCTAATTATTTTGATTGCACATTTTTGTGTGTGATTTCTGTTTTAGGTCGTTGCGAGGTGTTCGGATACCGCATTCACCCGAATCTATCGAGACCGGTACAGCACAACGAACAGAACATCTCCGAAGATGAGGATGATGAATAGATTGCAGCAACCACTAGCAGTAGCACCAACTCCATATCACTTAAGAATACATTTTAAAAACAATACTTGTACTAACGATTTGTTAGCCAACTGGCCTTGATTAATTTGCGGGCCTGAGTGAGCAGCCTTCTATTGTTCACGGGAGTACGTACATTTGGTTGCGTACGTAAGTACAAATGAAATGACTTGGTTTTCAATTGAAAAAAAATAGAGCATTGATTTCATTCTATTTTCTTTCCATTCATTTCATGCACAATTGGACTACGCCCGAATTTCACTCATTTTCGACGGAAAAAATGATTGTGTCTATGGTCAAACGTAATACCACATTCAACCCTAAACATATACCCGGCTCGGATATATTTCATTTAATAATTGTAATTGTTACCTGGAACTTACCGTTTCTTTTGGTGCAGCAGCCTGAAAATAATTTATGTCTTTGCCATTGATTTCGATTTGACCAGTACCTTAAATTGCAAATCAAAATAAAATTTCAATTAAAAAATCCAATCGAGAGCAATTTCTCATTCTATTATGTTCAATTTTTCTTTTCTTCTAGCAAACTCACCAGGTGAAATGACGGTGACATCAGCTCTGCATGTTTTGAATCGGCACTCTGTAACGAGACATTCGTTTTAAATCCAACTCATTTGGGAAGAAAAAAGATGCAATTATCCTGAATTACCGTATGACGTAACATATTGGCGTCCATCTTCGCCGATTTTCGGTTCAATGACCTCACGTTCCTTCGATTGATTGTGCAACGTTTGCCGATATTTCAGAATGAAATCTTTGCATTGATACGAATATGGGTGTGCCAACAGTCGATCCATCATCGCAACAAAATTCTCGTAATGTTTATCGGAGATATCTTCAATGATTTTATTTTGTAGATTCTCTTTTGTTAACCATTGTGAATCATCCAAAGTTCTAGGAGAAATGCAATTAAAAGCCGTTATAATTTACATATGAAAATATAATCATAGGATGGCTTACAACTTAAGTCCTTCATTTGGTTCTTTATTCTGTCGAACATCTTTGTCTTCGATTTTATCCAGTTTTTTCATATGATCAATGGCTTCCTATAAAATACAGCAAAAATTTGTCACTTTGTTCATCATCCGATATCTTTCTTCGGTATACTTACATGGCACAAGTCATAGAAATGGGGGAAACAAGTGAAAAACATATAGTGAAATGGTCGGCCAGTTCTATCGAACTGGATCCTCTTACGTGGTGGGAACACTTCTTCGGGTGGTTTCATGAATGGTCGAGCCTTTCTGTCGTTCAAACCTGATGGAAACAAGTACTCAATGGCTGCCTACAGAATGGAAATGAAGATTTTGAAATTAAACCGATTTTTGGCATTTTCGCATGTATTTTGACTTCACTTACGTCTGCATCGGCTTGAGTGAACGTTTCCGGATCGGTGCCCATCATATTGGCCAAATGGCGCATACCGATGCGGTATTCTGCGCCAGCCTCTTGAATCATTTCATCGTATTCACGAGCTCGTTCCAAGAAAATCTTTGCTGCATTGTTCAATTTTTCTTTCGTTTTACCATCTGCACTTGGAACAACATCCTTTGATGTCACAACTGTGGTTGCATAACCGGCTTTTTGTGGCTACAATTGTAATTTAATTGGTAGAGTATTTAAAATTTGACCGCAATAAGAAATCACATAGTCAAATTTACAGGTTAGGTTTGTTTATGTATGCATATTATAAGAGAAACTCACTTTGATTTGGGCGGTATTCACTTGGAATCGCAAGCTGGGATAAAGTTTTCTACATAAAACACCTCGCAAGAAGCTATTTCCAATCAACGACATTTTAATTTCCAATTTTATTATTACGTGGACGATACACAGTCTCTTCAAAGAACAATCGTCCACCGATGAGAGAACTCATGCGATTACCTTCATGTGAACGATATGACAGTGAACTGTCAAATGTGACAGATGTGCGACTGACTGGAATGTGTGTACCGCAATTTTGACACATGCAAATACTGGCGATAGTTCGATTGAGTTCGGAATGTGAATGTACACGCGTTTACCAACTCGCACTTTTTCTCGCAACTATTTTCGTGTCTGCAGTATAGATATAGGTAAGTTTTATCCTCTTAATATCTTATCTCGCCGGAATATAATTTTTCGCGTACATAATTCACATAAAATCGATAAATTTGTGGTGAATTTCTTTGAATTGGATCACATTTTCATTTATTGTTGAAATTTTGAGTGAAAGTGATGCAATTTATGAATAATAATAAGCTTTCTTTGTTTCATGTAGGTCAGAAAAAAAGATGGGCGAAGGGAATCTTATCGAACAATTTGTTGCACTCGGCATGAGGTAATCAATAATAAATCAGTGAATTTTATGAACATAAACTGAATTACATTTTTTTCACCGTACAGTGAAACGAAGGCAAAAGAAACGCTTAAAAATGCAAATGTTACAAAGAATCTGTCGGCGGCATTGAATGAATGCAAAGATGCACCAATACCCGAAGGTGCCGGAATGCTGTTATATCATCTGGCCTCAAAAATTAAGGCACAAATCATTCATCACTTGCCATTACTCGTGAAATACGTTGTATCGCTAAAATTGGATACCACCGTTCGAGTTGATGCGGCACTTGATTACGTATTGAAAAATGGTTTGCAAGCAAGCGAAATCAATACGGCTGAACTTGAAAAACATTGTGGCGTTGGAATCGTTGTCACACCCGAGGAAATCGAGCGTCATGTTGAAGCGTCGATTGCACGGAACAAGGACTCCCTTTTGGAACAACGGTATCGCTTCAATGTGTTCAAAATAATGCAAGAGGTTCGTGAGCATTTGCCGTGGGCCGATGGGAAACAAGTGAAAAATGAGGTGGATGTGCAAATTTTCGACTTGTTGGGCGAGAAAACGGCCGCTGATTTGGCACCACCGCCAAAGAAACAAAAAGAAAAGAAACCAGCGGAGAATGCCGGCGCCAAAACCGATAAGCAAACCAAGGGTGAAGACACGTCGAAAGTCAGCGATGGTGCTGGTTCAATTGCTGAACTGATGAAAACCAAGGTACATTTCCATGTTCCGGGTGAAAATTACAAAACTGATGGTTATGTTGTGACACCAAACACGGAGCGTTTGCTGAAAGAGCATCTTAAAATAACGGGCGGACGCGTGCGTACACGTTTTCCACCGGAGCCAAACGGTATTTTGCACATTGGTCACGCCAAAGCGATTAACATCAACTTTGGATATGCTCAAGCTCACAATGGAACTTGCTACTTGCGTTACGATGACACGAATCCCGAAAAGGAGGAAGAGAAATTCTTCGTTGCCATCAAAGATATGGTCGAATGGCTAGGCTACAAACCCGACAAAATCACTCATTCGTCGGACTATTTTCAGCAACTCTACGAATGGGCTATCGTTTTGATCAAAAAAGGCTTCGCGTATGTTTGTCATCAAACCGCTGATGAAATGAAGGGATTTATTAATCCGAAACCATCCCAATGGCGTGACCGTCCGATTGAAGAGAATTTACAACTCTTTGAAGATATGAAAAATGGTAAAATCGACGAGGGACTTGCCACGCTTCGCATGAAGATCACGCTGGAAGAGGGCAAAATGGATCCAGTCGCATATCGTATCAAATTTATTCCACATCATCGTACTGGTAACGATTGGTGCATTTATCCCACGTACGACTTCACGCATTGTCTTTGCGACAGCATTGAAAATATCACGCATTCGTTGTGCACCAAGGAGTTCCAATCACGTCGATCGTCATACTATTGGTTGTGCAACGCTCTCGATATCTACTGCCCCGTCCAATGGGAATACGGTCGATTGAATGTAAACTACACGGTGGTTTCCAAACGTAAAATTGCTAAATTGATTACAGACAAAATTGTCAACGATTGGGATGATCCACGTTTGTTCACACTGACCGCATTACGAAGAAGAGGCTTCCCAGCTGAGGCAATCAATAATTTCTGCGCGCTGGTAGGTGTTACAGGGGCCCAAGGTACAATCGATCCATCAATGATTGAAGCTACCGTTCGCAACTACTTAAACACAACGGCACCGCGTCGTTTGGTCGTGTTGGAGCCACTTAAAGTGACACTCACCAATTTCCCATTCAACAAACCACAATCCATCACCGTTCCAAACTTCCCGAACGATGCAAGCAAAGGCACACACCAAGTCACTTTCGACAAGGTAATTTACATCGAACGAACCGATTTCAAGGAGAACCCAGAAAAGGGCTATCATCGTTTGTCATCAGAACAAGCAGTCGGTTTGCGTCATGCTGGTTACGTAATTCGTGTGACCGAATTGAAGAAGGATGCTGAAGGCCAAGTTCAAGAATTGATTTGCACTTGTGAGAGCTCAGAGAAAGCGGCCAAACCAAGGGCATTCATTCAATGGGTGTCGCAACCAAAAGAGATCGAAGTACGTCTGTACGAGCAACTATTTTTGCATAAAAATCCAGAAGATACGAATGAGGTACCCAACGGATACCTGTCCGATTGCAACCCGAATTCATTGAAGATCGTCACTTCGTATACGGATGCATCACTGTTGGACAATTTAAAAGTCTACGATCGATTTCAATTCGAGCGAATTGGCTTCTTCAGCGTTGATCCTGAAACCATAAATTCACGTGCCGTTTTCAATCGGACTGTTACGTTGAAAGAAGATGCCGGTAAATGATTTTTGCATCGAAACAGAACTCTCATTTAATTGATATGCCAGTTGAATACAAATTTTTTTTCTAATGAATCAAATAAAAATATTCAATTTTATTCGGTACTTTGCTTTATTATTCTTAATTTTAGCTTGAAGAGAGAAAGATCACATGGTTTCTTAAAAGTATTGAATTGGGCTGCTTCTTTATTATTCGTTGATAACAATCGAAATTCCGTGTGTATCGGGCTCTTCACCATCGTCACTATTATCGCTAAATGGCTCATCTTCAGATTCCCCATTTTCATCGAAGTGTGTGTCGCGCTTGCGGTACGATTGGAAGAATGAGTTCGGGTCGACGAGTGCACTGCCCGATGGTAACAACGAAATATTTTCAGCGATAATCTTTTGACGCGTTTCGAGCCGTTCTTCAGCTTGCTTTTCCATTTGCTCGCGTAACTTTTCCTGGTGTTGCTTTTCCATTTCGATCTATTGAGTTCGGAAAATAAGAGTAGGCAAAAATAGTGGTCAGTTATTGTGAAATGATTTAAAACATTTCGATTGAAATCGAAATTGACTTACTGATTCTTGCAATGAAATCAATTTGACGGCGTTGTTTCGTAAATTTGGTGGCGTAGCTGCTGTCACCTCCCAATGTTCACCATGCATCCGTTGTTTTTCCTTCTCAACGCTGTGCACATCACTTTTGGTGGTTCGAAACGGTAGAAATTTTTGCTTGATTTTTGCATCTTTGACAAAGGCCACATCTTTCTTCATCATATTGATGGCATGTGGCTCCAGTTCAATAGCACCATTGGATTTGTTTGCATCATTTCCATCCGATTTCGTACTGGTGTTTGGTGAATTTTCACCATTTAGCGAATTGTTCTTTTTATTTTCCGCATTTAGCATTTTGATATCCTCCAGATCGGCTTCTGTGATGAGACTTTTCGGTGGTTTTGTCACTTTGACCAATTTTGTTTCCCGACTTTGTGCAATTATTTTCAATGGATCAACTTCGGCATTTTCATCATCATCATCGCTATCCATTGTATCGGCTGCTACCAGAATTTGATCACCACGCACCTTTCCACCATTCCATTCCATATGAGTTAGCGTTTTTACGCCCTTTTCGACAATGTTTAGCTCGGAGAAAAGTGCAGCCGCTTGATCAATCTCGTTGCGCGCATTGATTTCTTGCACAATTTTTTCATACAACTTTTGTATTCGCTCACCTTTGTCCGGTAGCTTTGTCCGGTAGCTTTTGATTTAGAACCAATGGTCAGGTCTTCGAAATATAAAATAAAGTGTTCAAGCAATAGAAAGAAACTTACTTGTTCGATAGCAATTTCTCTTGGCGGTCTCGCATTTCGATTAGCTGTGGTTTTGTGTATTTTGTCAAATCCTCAATATACTTCTCTTTCACAGCCGTTGAAAGATTCACGGGAGCGCTTTGAATGGGCATTTTGAAATTTGATGAGTAAAATTTTGAGTTAAAATAAGGAAATAAGGATGCAAAGAATGACAAAAGTGCGCAAAATATAACCAATACTTTTGAGGTATAACAAACGAATGCCAAAAGTAGAAATGTCAGTGTGATGCGTCCGGTATTTGGGGTGCGTTCAATGGATTGCATGCAACAGACGAACGCACTTTCCATTGGAATGCTGTCAGTTTTCTTATTTGCCGTAATTTCAAATATGACTAGAAACGAATTGTAGCACAATTAAATTTTTCTTTTTCAATAAATTTATATACTTTTGTTCAATTCAATTCTTATATTCATAAATAACAGCGCTCTCTTTCTATATATAGTTTTTTGAAATTTTTCTTTTAACATTTCTATTTTAAATTTCTCAATTTCAAATCAGTTCGACTTTTTGGATGTGTTTGGAAAGTTTGCTTTTCGTATCTTCTTTTTTATATAAAGTCGGCATCATCTATGATGTAAAAGCTTGGCATCTTCTTTACACTGATCCATTTTTCATTATCTCCCTTTGTAACCTCGTCGGGGACTATTATCTGTTCATTTTTGCCGAAAACTGTGAGCTCAAGCTTGATGATTTGTTCACGTTTTTGGATGATATCAAGTAGATCCAAATAGATCGGAAGAGTCAAAATGAACTCCGGCAAGTCGATTATCAGGTGTGTTAACCGGTTTGCTTTGCGAACAATCTCGGTTATTCCATACCGAGTGAATATTGTCCGTCCCTTGATATCCAATGTTTCGAGTTGCTTTAGATTTTTGGCAAAGCTCAAAATGTGATTTTCATTCAATTCATCGATATCAGTTAGTCGCAGCACCTTCAATGTGTTGATTTGGGCAATTTTTTCGAATATTGTATCATCTCCGACTCCATTCATAAGCCGCAGATGCTCAATAGCCACGCCATTTGTGATTAATTTCTCGATAAGACGGCACGGTGAAATGACATTATACAAATCTAATTTTAGAACCTTTAAATTTTGCAACGATGACAAATGCAATAAGTCGTTTTGCATAGCATGTGCTGTATTAAATCCTCCATTCGTGTATTCGAATTCTTGAAGATATTCCAATTTGCTGACTGCTTTGAATATCGTAGATGTTATATTATAACATTCAGTAAACGATAGACGTTTTAATGATGGATTCATTTTGAGAAATTGAACGATTGAGTCGTTACTCAAATATGCAACTTGTATAAATGTCACATCTTCCAGCTTTGGGAAATTCTTCCATAAGACATCACTCCACAATTCGCAAATGCTACCATCCAGTACTAAACGTTTGAGATTTTCCATTGGACCTGGGTTGCAATCGACGATCAGGCAATCGAAGAGTGTCAAATTCTCAACACAATTAAACAATGGTCTGATGATATCCGCTGAATCGTTGGTTATATCGAATTCCCGCAACTCCAATGATTTCAGATGATAGCAATACTGTTTGATCAGCTGCAACAACCCGTTTGAAATACCGAGAAATGGGATGAAAACTGCAGTGCTCATTTCCAACGTTACAATTTGATCGCCAAAAATGCGTAAAAACTGTTCCGCTTCTTCTAAGCGATCGGTTGCAACTCGTCCAGTATTGCCAAACGATTCAAAATCAAAGCACTGACTGTATTTCAATCGAAAATGATATTTTGCCAGGTTGCGTAATCGATCGCAGGTGTCAGCAAAATTGCTCAACGTTTTCGGATCCATTTCCATGAAAATTGTCAACAAACAATCTGCACTGAGTTCCATCAATTTTTCGATTCGAGGTTTTCGCTTTCGTTTTGGCTCTGGCAATACGATATTTTCATTCATTTGTTCCTTTTTGAAGCTTCTCAGCATATATCTCGTTTGCCGTGCCGATACCGTTACATTCGATCCATATATCTCTGTATCAGCCGCATTGCTTGGGCGTGTCCGTTTGGCCGGTGGCGGTCCAACGTCTGACATTTTAAGTTTTCGATCGGAATTCGGCTAGCTGTGGAACAGAATATCATAAGATTTTCACCATGCACAGTCAAATTTTCATTTAAATTACCTCTGAAAAGTGATTTTCGTCACGGAGACTGTGATATTCTCCAGTTGACCAGCGTTTCAATGGATGCACATAACCTATTTCAAGAAAAAAGCGATTGACGAATTAGATTTGCTGATGTGAATTAACTCATTTTCTTGGCACAAACCTGTTTATGCTCCGAAATCAGGTGAAGCGGCTTCGAATGGGCAACAAGTTGAATGGGCCAATTTGATCTACAAATTCCACAAACTTTGAGGTTAGATTGATGTGCACCGATAGCCGTTCTTCACGAATCCAACGGATTGCCAAACACTGCGTTGAAAAATATTCCATTTCAATTGATTAATCATTCTGTAATCAATTCTGTACTCCAAATATTTTGCTAATACAGTCGAATATGGAAGTCATACTCGAACAACGAGACTTACGTTTTCATTAATGGTTCAATTTCTCGGCGCAATTCGGTGTACCAACATTTTCTCGTTGTTTATCGTACAAGAAAAATGTCCACCGTTTTATTCAAATTCACACAATGATTTATACAAAAAAAAACATAACAATCGACTAAAAACAATTTCTAATTGAAAAAATGCAATATAGAAAACAATACAAGCGTTCCGTTCGGTGTATTATGCATGCAACCGAATTATAAGTAGCAATGAATCACAAACGTAGCGCGTCGTTGAAAGTGACACGTTTGCAATGCCCAATGAGGAATGTGTACAATATCTGTAACAATTTTGTAATGAAAATGTACACAGTGTGTGCACAAACGGTGTACACTTTCATACAATACGCGTTACAAGAATACCATAATTCCTCATTGGGTGCGAATTTGGCGGCATGAAGATTAACCATATCTCGTTTCAGATGGTGCGATTGTACCGTTTGTATGTCATTGTTAAAACAACAGGCGTGACAACATCACATTTTGACTATCGAAAGAGATGTTTCGTTGCGTATATTGATTTCGTTTTTGTGCATTGGTACATCGATTTTGAATCTTTTTTTCGGAATTTGGACTAAAATTGTGACAAACTCGACTTGTCTTAGTGTAAAAATAGTTCTTTTCATTTTCAAAACTCTTCCCGCGTAAATCATCATTGATTTTCAATGTTTGAAAAGAAATGTGCCTATGTTTTTATTTGTGTTGATCAAATCGATTGGATTTCTTCGAAAAATATTTTTTTTCTTTCAAACTCCAAATGTGCGGTATGAATCGTCACAATATGCTAGTTGCAAGAGCGATGATAATATAAGAACTGACATATCTTGCAATTGAAGCAATGAAAAAAAGTACTGAGCTCCCTCCACTGTATATTCCGAATGAAATTCAATCCCAGATTATATACTAAGGAAGACTTTAGTATTAGCGTCATGAAATCGGGTTCCATATTCAATACGTTCAAGACACGCATTTACATTTGAGTGTATTGACGACGAAAATGTGTGATGTGTATATAATACGGAATATTTGTGGCGGGTGGCTCTTAGTGTTGTCTTGTCTTATCATTCGGTAACACACGATCATAAAATAAACGACTGCTTCATTGCATCAAAAATCTGCTCTTCGGTGTGCAGATCAAGTCAGTGCCGTCTCAGTTGATCGGAATTCTTTTGTGTTACCGTTTCTAACCGAATTGTACTGTCTGAATTCATGTGATTTATTGTGATTTTCAACAAGTGAACAAAACGAGCGACTGGCTCGGCTCGTTGTGTGAATTTATCCAATTTTATTGACACACTTGAGTTGTGTACCGTTTCAATTAAATTTTTAATAGTTTTTCCAACCACAAAGTAGTGAATAATTTGAATTCGTATTACGTATCATTTGTCTTCAGAATGGGCAAAAATGACGATCAAATTCGACTTTTGCCAGTCGGAAATGGGTCGGCGAAAAAGAATTATGTGAGTTTAAACGTTATAAATACGATTAAGACCATTTTAGAAATGAATGTTTCAAGCAGAAAATTCCAGTTCTTCTATTAAAAGAAAAAAATTCCAAATAATTTTTCAACATCATTTCATTTACGCATATTGAAATAATTTTATTACCACATCGGCTGGTTGACTGTAAGAAACGCGACAAATGTAGTGGAGTATTTATACGGCTTCTTCTGTGTATTCAATGCTATGTATCTTGCTCCATTCAATTCTACCGACTTGCTACTTACTCTGCCATTACAGAACCAGACGCGTATAGCTAACATGTATCATATTTCCTGAATGTTTTATGTCTCATTTTTTTACATATTCTCCACCCAACAGTCCATTCCACTACATTGTTTTTCTTCTATATTTCTCGAGTGTATTTCTCATTCACTATTCGGCGCTATGAATAAGGCAAAAATTGTCACATTCAGCATTCCAAAATTCGGAAAATCGGTCAATACTCTGAATTCGATTGAAATTGCTTCAAAACCTAAAACCATAAAAATGTGTAAATGAACTTCAATGAGACTAATTTAGGTTATTTCATGGAAGGAAGCATGCGTGGTTATCTCAATTTTGATTCCAATCATACTCATCTCAAATATTCAGAGACTCGCTAAATCGAAATCTTCCACGCTACGTATTCAATTCAAACGAGTAAAAGAAAAGATGATACTAATTACAGACAGACAGATAACAGCAATGTAAAGAGCAATCAATGTAACATTTCAATTTTATCGCGATGTTCATGAGATACATTTCAAGACATTATCTTCAACAAACAAAATGATAATTCCGAAGCGAAACTATTGAAAGATGTGGCTCTTCATCTTTTTTCACTGTGTCTGCTGCTCAATGATATGCATTAGCTTATTTCTTTTCATTATGATTTTGAATTTTTTTGTTTTATAGGATAGTATAACACCTCTAAGCACCGAGGTCATATCGGAAAATGATTCGGCTAATACAAAAACACCATCGACATATGGAAGTTTGAAGTTCAATGCAACCGTAGAGCAGCTGAGCTACACATGGACGAATATCGATGTGTTCGGTGAAGTGCAAAATGGAAACACCTCCGGGATGGGCGAATCGCCTCCTTCTGCATTATTTTCAAGAATAAAGTCATGCTTTAGCCGTGACTATCAGCATATTCCGCGGCCAAGGAAACATTTACTGAAAAATGTGTCGGGCATTGGTAAGAATTTATATAAATTGAAAGAAAAGTAACAAAGGTCATACAGAGAGTTTTTACTTCATGATTTGTCTGCAGCATATCCGGGCGAAATATTGGCAGTAATGGGAAGTTCAGGAGCGGGGAAAACAACACTTTTAAATTCACTTGCATTTCGATCACCTTCAGGCGTACAAGTGTCTCATGCTGCCGTACGAGCTTTAAATGGAATACCAGTGAACGCAAAACAATTGCGATCAAGATGCGCCTATATTCAACAGGACGATCTATTCATTGGATCCCTGACTGCGCGAGAGCATTTGATATTCCAGGTAAATGGTGTTTCATTTCAATTTGAAATGTTCAAATACGAAGAAAGCGAAACCATTAAAATTGTTACCATTTCCAAAGGCTTTGCTACGATTGGATCGTCGGATGCCGTACAAAGAGAAAATGCAAAAAGTGGACCAAGTCATAGAGGATTTATCGTTGACCAAGTGTCAAAATACTATTATCGGAGTTACTGGACGGATCAAAGGTCTGTCAGGAGGTGAACGAAAACGTCTTTCGTTCGCTTCAGAAGCTCTAACCGATCCGGCGCTGCTGTTGTGCGATGAACCCACCTCCGGTTTGGACTCGTTCATGGCACACAATGTGCTGCAAGTGTTGAAAAACTTGGCCGATAAGAATAAAACCATCATTCTAACGATTCACCAACCATCTTCGGAAATTTTTAAGTAAATTTTTTTAAAAATAAATCTCTAAATTTTAAATAATAATTCAAACCTAAAATCTTCAGCATGTTCGACAAACTGCTCTTAATGGCCAATGGTCGCGTCGCATTTCTCGGCACACCCACCGAAGCAAATAACTTTTTTGCATCACTTCAAGCACCGTGCCCAGTCAACTATAATCCAGCAGACTACTTTGTCGAACGCTTGGCCATTGTGCCCGGCAAAGAGGACGAAAGTCGTGAAACCGTTCGAAAGATTTGCGATGCATTTGCCGTTAGTGAATACCAAACAAAGCTCAATGACGAAATAAGCAAACTACAATCAAACTCGACAGCCTTCATATCGATGAATGGAAGCAATGGAAATGGTGTTGAAAGCTATCGTGTGTCGTGGTGGGCACAATTCAGAGCAATTCTCTGGCGATCATGGCTTACTGTGTTGAAAGAACCGTTACTCGTTCGCGTTAGAGTTCTTCAAACGGTGGTATGAATCAATGTTAGAATTTCGTTATTTTTTGCAGTGTTCACAAAATATGTTGCTTTTCAGTTGGTTGCACTGGTTGTTGGAGTGATTTTTTATGGACAAGAATTGACACAGGATGGCGTTATGAATATTAATGGAGCGATTTTCCTCTTTTTAACCAATATGACATTCCAGAATGTATTTTCGGTTGCTAATGTAAGATCTAACTCAGATTTTTTTGTTTTCGAAAACTTTAGAACAAAAATTCATATCAAAATGATATTTTCAGGTGTTTTGCGCCGAATTGCCAGTATTTTTACGAGAGCATAGAAGTCGATTGTATCGCACAGATGCATATTTCCTCGGAAAATCACTTGCCGAATTCCCATTGTTTATGCTTGTTCCCCTGATTTTCACAGTGATAGCTTATCCGATGATTGGCTTGCGGCCAACATTCATTAATTTTGCAATAGCCCTTGGAATTGTGGTGCTGGTTGCTAATGTTTCAACTTCATTTGGTAAATATGAGAATATAATCATATTACAAAGTCAAAAGTAACGATTTCTTATGATTTTAGGTTACCTCATATCTTGCTGTAGTTCTTCAATCTCGATGGCACTGTCGATTGGCCCACCATTGATTATTCCATTTTTGTTATTCGGAGGTTTCTTCTTGAACAGTGGCTCGGTGCCTGTTTATTTCAAATGGCTGTCTTATCTGTCTTGGTTTAGATACGGCAACGAGGCCCTATTAATTAACCAATGGGCTGACGTTGGTCCCGGTGAAATTTTGTGCAATCGCTTGAATGCAACATGTCCAGCAGATGGTCGCGTTGTTTTGCAAATACTCAATTTCGATGCGGTACGATAAAAGTAGTCAGCTTTTAGTGTGTGTAAAACTATATGCAACATGTGTCAAGAATTCACGTGTTCCGCATTTCCCCAATCACCCCAACTTTTCCGTAACTTCTCACACATTTTGTTCTCCTTCACCTGAAGCAATACCTCCTCAATATTTTACATTTACATTCTATTAAGGGGCCTTTGCGCCTGCTAATTGCAACTTCTCGGTTGCATGATTTTGTACCCCAGTACGAAAATCCGTTTCTATACTGAGGTACAACATCATACACTCCAATTTCCCCAAATTCAATCATTTACAAAGACACAAAACAGAATAAAGATAAACTCTTTCCTTTTGCAGGATGACTTTAGCTACGATTTCATTGGACTGGCAGCTTTGATCATTGGATTCCGTTTCTTTGCGTTCGTTGCATTGAGCCTACGAGCTAGGAGCAAAGAGTAGTGGATTACCCGCATTCAATTTCATGAATCTTGAAACTAATTTTGTTGTAAATATTTTTTTTATTTTGAATTTGTTTGTGAAGAGTGTACTTTTACGCCCTACTCCTATTTTCAATCCACAGATGAATAAATGATGAAAAAAGTCGTGCTTAGTTTTTTCTTCGATTTTAGCTTGAAAAAAACCTTGTTGCCGTTCGGGAAAAAAGTTGAACAATTCCACCAAAAATTCCCATTTGTTATCATCCGAGCAATGCCGTTTCGCAAAGAACTTATCCAACGAACACGAATATATTCGTTTCATTGTTTTTTCCCAGACATTTGCACAATCTAATAAGCATTTTGATATAGGTATAGCACGTACCGACAGTACAAATATTTGGTGTACAGTACACATACACAGTGTGTATTGCACACAGCTACGCAGTGTCTATCAGATAGAGCGCAGAATATACTCTATTTCAAGAAATACTTTAGCGAATATCTGGTTTTTTTTTTCGTAGAAACAATTTGCTGTGAACATGAAGTTTAATTGCGTGTTTGATTGGATAGAATGGCTAAGCTCAACTTTTATTGGCAGGATATTTATCCTATAACAAAACGCTGATGAGGGTGGAGCAATATTGGTCATGCGTAGAAAAAATTATCACCAAAGAATAACTGTTCATAGCATTTGCTCCAACCAATCACAGTCATTGTTTGTTGGTCAAAAATAAGAGCCACGGATTAATTGAGTGCACACTCAATTGCATCTTGTTAGTCTTATTAGAGACTGTAATATGGCAATAATGTTTATATTAGTGTTGAATCACTCAACACTATCAAATAACATTATCAAAATATGAATCTGAAGAACGTCCCTTGGCAATGCAAAATAACATGGGTAAGGTACACTTTTGCGCATGAACTTTTTAACGACCTTCAATTCAATATTATTATTATTTTATAATGTCGTATAATTCTGATCAATTTAAATAAAACACTCATTGTTTGCGGTTCGGCGGAATTACATAGTGGTAAAAAGATACGTTTAATACAGATGATTTTAAAAGATACATTATTGGTTTGCATGTGGAAGGGTAAATCTGGTTGAACCAAGCACATTATGATTTCAGAAGTAGTAAGGACTGGCCAAGACACGTGAGTATGGGTATGCCGAGTAAGGATATGTCGGGTAGACCGATGGGTAAACTGATGGGTATGTCGAGCCAAGTGGTTGGTTTGGCAAAATGATGGGACCGGCGCCACCAAGCGGGTAAGTGGAAGGAAGAACCGTAAGTGGACGATGTCTGTACCATGATGAAACCACAAGCGGTTCATTCACAATTACCGGTTTCTTCACCTCCAAATCCTCTGCGAATGCAGCAACAATGACAGCGAAGAAGACCAAAGCCTAGAACAAACAAAAATATACTTAGAATTAAACCAATTTTAACAAACTAATCAATTGAAATTCAAAATCTACATTTCTTATTACAAATTCCATAAACTCAAATTTAAAAAAAAAAACTTCACAAAATGTCTTCATATATGCTCTAAAATTTATTTCGTTGTCTTTCTCTCCTTTTTATATTCTGATTCTCTTAATTTCTTTTATTGACTTTTTCAAACAACATTTTTTGAAAAATATAATTAAAATAAACTGAAGTTCTTACAACTTTTGGATTCATTTTGAAATGGTTGATGATTTTTCCAAGCAAAAATGGTTGTTGTGCAAGAAACACTGATGCCTCAACGCAGACTTCATTGGCTTTTTATAGGATATCTATCTCTTCGCCTCAATACTTGTTTCATCCATTTGCTCAGTTATCGAATACTATCACAGTTCACCAGAATGAAAATATAAGACTTGATTTTCGGGCTTTTATTATTAATTGCCAGCTGTTGATTTGGATTGCATACAGCCCTCCGGGGCAATGGATTCAAATACAGAGGTGCATCAACAAGAAAACAGGTTTGCAACGGTTCATTCGCTGCATATGTCGGACTTTGTTGTTATCTGCCCACTTTTGTAATTGATCTTCGAAATATTGTCTAATTGCGGTTTAGTACCTATAATGCAAATTGAAGATAACATTTGATTGGGGGATTTTATTCTTCTTTGTTCAACAACAACTATCCGGAATTTTAGTTTCGGCTATTCTGAAGCGGTGCTTTACAAAGGGAATGTGACAATATGATATTCTTACTGGTTTCGCATCTTGAATATTTCAATACTAAGGCCACTGAACATTTGATGGAGGCGCTCAAAATCGGTGACGGCGCTTCAAGAAAGTTCAGAAAAATTTTATCGTAATTGCCCACCATCAAAGGAAGCGATTTCATGAATTTCGAGAAGGGAAGAAAACAAATTGATTGCCATCTAATTTAGAAACGCTAATGGAAAATTCAAGTTTAACAAGTGTCGATATTTCAATTTTTCACATGTATTCAGTGCAAAGTTTTTTGTATAAAAACCGCTGGAATCAATTCAAATGGCATCAGTCAAATAGTGTTTGAAGTTTTGAAAGCATTCAATTTTCGATTCGACCAAAATTCAAAATGAACGCAAAAATTGTAAGTGAAAAAAAATTGTCTAGAAAAATAGAAAATTATAACAGTTGTGTAGGCTTTTTCTTCCTTTATGGAATTGAGATTTTTCATGGATTGATTCTTTAGAAATCGTATTGAAAGATAATTGATTTTTATTGAAATAAAAATCGAGATTGTAGTAGCTAGAGCGGATGCATCATTAAATCAACCGAATTTTTCTCAATTTCAGGCTTTGTTCTTCTTCGCTGTCATCGTTGGCACTTTGGCCGAAGACATTTTGCCAATTCCAGAACGTTACCCACCTGGTGTGGACCCAATCTTGTGTCCAGGCTATCCCAACTGTGACAATGAACTGTTGCACAGCACTCATGTCGTGTACTACTCTCCTGTCAAAGAGTAAGTTTATGCGCTGAAAATATTATGTTTATGCATATGTCTATTCATATCTGAATCGTTTTTAATTTTTATAATTTTGGAGAAAGTTCAAGATCGAAAGTCTTGGAAAATCGCTGAAAAGCTCCAAATTATTACAAAAGAATTGCAAATTATTCGAAAAATGTTTTTCGCTCTTTCTTCCGCAGATACCCACCAGGTGTAAATCCATTGACATGCCCCAACTACCCATACTGCGGCACCCCAGCGAAAGCCGTTATTGTGAAATCGGTTGGACCATGGCCAATTGCTCGTGTTGCAGAGATCGAGAAAGACGGTAAAACTGTGTTCACGGTACCAGAACTCCTCAAGGGCGTATACTACGTCCAAACCGTCTAGTTCCAACGACAGATGATTTTTTTTTCCAAACTTCGGCCAAACACATCATTGCAAGAAAATATAATTAAAAATTTACGATCGCATCAAATTTATCTTTTGTTTTTATTAATTTGGAAGGTTCCCCTGTCTTTTCATCATTTATCCATCAACGGTTGTATTATTTGTGAAGTGTAAACGTGGTATACAGATTCAGCTGAACTTTCATGTCATACTTTGCTATTGATTACACATTCTCATTCATAGTTCCGTTGTTCATTCGCGGCAGAAATAATGCTATCAAGTGTCGAACAATGATTGTGTTGCTCTTATTTTCGTGCCAACAAACGATAATTGTGATTGGCTGGAGTGGAAGTTGACGATAGCTACATTTTTTGCATTAATTTTCATTACGTACCTGTAATGCGCAACCCACGTCTGTATTTCCAAAACAATGTTTCGTTAAATGACAAATATCCTGCCAATAAAGCTGAGAGCAACTGTTTGATGCAATCACAGCAAATACATAAACACCTGTGGAAAATGCATAATGAGTAGATTGGAAAATGTAAAATTGACTATTGGGCATTGGGCACTATCCATATCGAATTTGGATACGATGCGCAACGTACGAACACTATTCCGACCTATGTTATATGAAGCACTTATACACTTTGCCTGTACCAATTGACACGTGGAAAATATCAATACAGTAGAATCTCGGAAAAGTTAATCAAAATGTTCCAGAGGTTATTAACTTTTCTGAATTATTAACTTTTCTGGACATTTTTTAACACTATGACTGTTCTTCATATTTGCAACATATTACTGTTCTTGGGGGACTCCAGGGCCCCCAAGATACTTCATATGAAATCTGGACTGTGATAAGAGATAACAAAATAGTGTCTGAAGCAAAGTTGTAATACTCAAAGTTTGCTATAATTTTGGTGCAACAAATATTGCTTATCTCTTATCAGTTCCGCGAAAAACGTGGAAAAACGCGAAAATCGCAAAATTTTCCCACATCGTTTTAGTGAAGCCGATAAGAAGTAAGAGACTTACCTCTTCAACAGAAATGTAGAGCAGGTCGAGTACTACAACTTCACCATAGACATCAAGTCGTTATCTCTTATCAGTTTCGCGAAAAATGATTATCAAGAATTCGCGTTTTTCGCGTTTTTTCGCGTAACTGATAAGAGATAACGACTTGATGTCTATGGTGAAGTTGTAGTACTCAAGCTGTTCTACAACTTTGTCGAAGATACCAAGTCGTTATCTCTTATCAGTTTCGCGGAATACGCGAGAAACCGCAGAAAACCGCGAAAAAACGCGTTTTTTCCTTATCATTTTCCACGGAACTGATAAGAGATAACGAGATGGTGTCTAAGCAAAGTTGTAGCTCTGGTCGAGTACTATAATTTTCCACAGACGTCAAGTCGTTATCTCGTATCAGTTACGCAAAAAAATGATAAGAAAACATTCGCGTTTTTCACGGTTTTCTGCGGTTTTTCGCATATTCCGCGAAACTGATAAGAGATAACGAGATGGTGTCTATAATAAAGTTGTAAAGCAACTTAAGTACTACAATTTCGCTACAAACATCAAGTCGTTATCTCTTATCAGTTACGCGAAAAGCCGCGAAAACCGTGAAAAACGCGAATTTTTTCTTATCATTTTTTGCGTAACTGATAAAAGATAACGACTTGATATCTGTAGTGAAGTTGTAGTACTTGACCAGAACTACAACTTTGCCAAAGACACTATTTCGCTATCTTTTATCAGTTTTGCAGAATACGCGAGAAACCGCAGAAAACCGTGAAAAACGCGATTTTTTTCTTATCATTTTTTCGCGTAACTGATAATAGATAACGACTTGGTGTCTGTGCTAAAGTTGTAGTACTTGACCAGAGCTACAATTTTGCCATAGACACCATCTCGTTATCTCTTATCAGTTCCTTGGAAAGTGAGAAACTACGCGTTTTTCACGTTTTCGCGGCTTTTCGCGTAACTGATAAGAGATAACGACTTGATGTCTACGACGAAGTTGTAGTACATAAACTAGTCTACAACACTGCTACAGACACCAAGTCGATATCTCTTATCATAGTCCAGTTATAATATAAAATAGCCATGGGGCCCTGGAGTCCCCCAAGAACAACAGCGTAACATGTTTTGCGGCAGGCTGTATTTTACACATACTCACACATATGTAAATGTTTTTTTTTCATTCGTGTAGAGAAATGTTCAATCTATACAATTAGACTTTACTCCGGTTGGTTTATACACTGTTTAGTACTTTTATCCAACTTTAAAGTTCGCTGGGGGTCCTGGGTACCCCAAGAACAATCATAGTGTTAAAATTGATACAAATTGCATGGTTCAACGATATTTGGTTCAAATTTTATTATATTGGAACATTTTCATCAGTTTACATCAAAAAGTAAAAATAAGTGTCAATAAAATCGAGAATTTCAATCCGTTCTTCTTAATTTTCGATATGGCTGCTTCAGATACACCATATTCTGGAGCCAATCGTTCTCCGTGAACACCACTGTCGGTTTTTTTTCCCAAAATTTCACCATTTCGCTCTAAATTTAGTCTGGCTTGTACTGGTTTATTCACTTTTTTCAACATTTTTATCGACAAAACGAATAAGAGCTACGTAGAGCGAATGCAACTCACTGAGTCTATTGTTTATACCGGCTAACACGTACACAACAAAGGCTACTGTCAGCTGTTATTGTTTGTCAATACATTTATAAAAAGAAAGGATTAGTAGAACACAGCGAACAGGCACTTGCCTGAAACGCCGATCAACGCACGACATATTTTTTTCGTTTTGTATTGCTGGTTTGCATTGCAAAACTACTGAATCGCGTGTAAAATGTACACACGCTCTAAAAAGTTAAGTAAATGATTAGCTTTTTAAGGCGTTCAATGGGAGCTGAACGTCGCTTAACTTATCTGGGCAATTAACTTTTCCGAGATTCTACTGTATTTGCTTTAGACAAACGTAGAGCAGAAGGGAGAATAGTTCGTTTGCGCATAATCTCTGTTTAATATGGGCCAACCACTGTTCAGTTTTCAATAATCACCTCCAGAAATTATTACCTAAATAATGAATGTGTTATTGAACGTTGTGACTGGATATAATTCGGGGTGTGTTTGTGTAATCCATGAATTCACATCAAACGTTAAATTCCCCAAGCATAAAGACTGAAGGTGCAGATGTGTAAGCATGTGTGAGGTATTGCCTCCGAACACATGTATGTACGCCCTGCTTTTATCTTGCTATCTACTATCAAGGATAATTAACTGAAAATGGTTAAAGCAACAATTTCATGTTTGTTTGGCTTTGCTTCGATAAATACTAAGCGTTCATTGAAATGAATTTGAACTGTTTCGATTATTAGCTTTAGTGAAAACTACATTCATATTTGGGCCTGCATAACAAAATGACAACTGCACTTTATTCCCATGTTCAAAAGATCACTTGCACAGATACGGAATATAAATAGAGAATTCGAAACTTTCGCATCAAAGTCATTTTCTCTCAAAAACACAAAAATGAAAAATAATTGATTTTTATTGAAACCGTAGATGTTCACTTCACCAAGGGACGCAAAGTGACTAGACTTTTCATCTTGTAGCAGATGGCCGTAATTCACTTTGTTAAAGAAAATCAATCACTTGTTTCCAGGTAATTCATTTTAATTTACAATGTGTACTTACAATGCTTGCTCCTCTGTTTGCTCCTCTTCGAAATTGCTTTTGCATTGAAAAAATAGCATACGATCCATTATTTCGAGTGAAGTGAGAGCTTTCTGTATGAGGAATTGAATGTTGTTGTTCCAATGTGTTTTCGCATTTTTGTACAACGGTGGAAATACATTGGCGGTCAAAACAACAGCGGCCAGTTCCCCCTGACACTTTCTAAATATTTTCGATTAGAGGAAAAACTAAATGCATATTGCCGCAACCCGAAGTATCTTTGGAGGGGAAATATTCGTGATTCGTATTCCTTTCCACTTGGAATTGGGGAAATGTGCAGTAGCACTGTGAAGCAATATGTGGTCTACTAGTATACGGTTATATAAATGTATGGAGTTTACCGACCCTGTAGCATTACACTAACAATAGCATCATTTGAAAAATATGTTTTAGAAAATACATTGTAACACACAGGTTGTGTTGCTAGTGGTATATGCTCTTGCAGCAACCTTCTATAAGCGGTAAGCTATATAAAAGGCAAACAAAGTGTTTATCGGGTGTTCAAGTCCCGAACCATTGACAGTTTTTTTTTTTTGATTTTATTGAGAATTGTGCAACCAACAATCTTGACAGTCTTATTAATTTTCAATCCTTTAAATCAAAAATTTGAGAGAATCCAGCTACACAGAGAATTTGGTGTTATTTTCGACGTGAAACTCACATTCGCCAACTACGTTGAGACAATAGTAACCAGCGCAAGTGGTGCATTTGGTTTTGTTAGGCCAACACTGAAAAACAAATTTACCATAGAATTGGCGAAAATGTTATATTTGTGTTTTACTTAATTATTATTAGGCTCATATTGCTCTCAAAAATTGTAAAAATATTGAGACTTTTGAATTATATTGAGCATCAGTTTGATCGAAATTAGAGTGTAGTGTGACATCCATACCACCAGTATCATATACATAGACAAAATCGAATCAGTTCAGAAAGCCTTTGTTATGTGAGCACTTGGCGGAATTTACCAAAGAGATGTTAAATTATAAATTGTATAATATCTACAAACGAACTTTTCCAAATAGCATGTTGCAATTTACTTTTGAAATGTACCTCACATTAGTTCAAATGAAAGCCGTCATGTAATCATACGAACAGCGCTCAAATCGTTTTGTAGAATTTTCATACAAAATGACAGTGAGGCACTTTTGCAACATGCTATTTAAGAAAAAAAAATCTTAAATATGGAATAAGAATTTTTTTTCTTAAATTTGGAAAAAACTTTTCCTAATTTCCAATATTTTATATGGTAGACTTAAGAATTAAGACTATTTTTTTGGAAAGAAATTTTAAATTTGGAAAAGTTTGTTTTGTGTGTAGTCTGTGACTAGACAATGAAATGAATCATCATAATACTTACTTCATAGCTGTATGAATGTGTGCGAAATTGTTCCAAAAATGATTTTCGTTGAATACAAGTGATGCTGACATTCATATCGATCGTGAAAAATGATCCAGATCATACTGATGAATACTGCTTCATGAAGTAGAATAGTGGGATTACAAACGAATTTTATTGGTGTATGCATTTATTTGTGAGAATTTTCCTTAGATTATTACAATACGTATCAATTTTTAACAAAATGAATATGATTTGATGTATGAAAATGAGGCTTATTCCAATTGTTCTGATTATAGAATAACTTGAATCGTTTGATTTTGACAAGAATGGCTTAACAATAATTTATTTAACATAAAAGTCTATTGAACATTTACAATTCTATTATCAGCTTAGTGAATGCCATATATGCGTCATTCTAATTGTAGAGATCCTAATCGTATGGGCTCGGTGAACGGTGACATTATCCAGAACTTCGAAAAATTATCTTTTTATTTGTCATTATCGAACAGCGTAAAAAGCATGTTCCCAAAGCAAGAGTACATGATAACTCTTTATGCTCAAATATTTATACGTTCGATATCTGTTTCCCTTATTGTGTACCTGAAGCACGTGATTACGCTTACATCAGTAAATGAAGTCGTTAAAAATGTGTTAAAATCGATTAAATATCTCGAAATATCTGCCTGTCTGTCAATCATTGGATGCCGAATAGTTTGGCTACTTCATTCAAATCATCACATTTTATGTCTTCGCTAAGAACTGCTCGCGCTGTGTTTATGCGGTTAAAGACATTCCATAGCACAATTCCGACAACCTTTTCATCTTGCATATAAAACACGACCCCTTTCGAGTAATCGTCTTTTCCATCGTTCAACTCATCAGCTGCATGAACGGATGGTAAGACGCTAGATGTTGAATTCGAGTCCGATGTTTGGTTTTGGACGAAAACACTGACTGTGGGCAACTTTGAATCGATAATGCCAATACCTTCATAAGCCACTTTTGGACCCAAATCCGACCAGAACATGCTTTGGTGTGTATATTGTTTGCCTGAGGTTCGAGAAAAATAAATTAGTTGACATGACTATTGAATGGATTGTGAATTTTATTGAACTTACTCATTCCAAGCATATTCTCTCCAGCCAATCGACCACTTACAACTGCATGATCGTGATGTTCAACTCGTCGGCGGCCCAGTATTGGATCGTAGAAACACGCTGCATCACCAGCCTACGTAATCATTTATCGAAATTTAGAATATTGCTTCGAACAATCTGTCTTTGGGGTATATTTCACACTTACCACATACAAATGATTTCGTGCGGCCAGTTCAGCATTCACAACCATGCCACCGTAATTTGGATCAATTTCCAAACCAGATTCTTCTGCTAGGCTAACATTTGGCTGCGAGCCAACAGCGACAACAACATGATCACAAAGCAGCGATTGCCCATTTTGTAGTGTGAGTTTAACTCGATCGTTGACCATATCCACCGACTCAACCTCTGTGTTTGGGATCACATTGACACCTAGCTCACGAACACGATCTGTTGTCCAATTGCTAAGTGGTTCCGGCAGAATCTTGCCCATATTTCCATTCTCGAGGAATACCTGATGAACTTGCAGTTTTTTGTCATCGCCTTAAAGTTTCGGAAGAGAAAATTTACTTTTAATATTGAACATTCCAAAAAAAAAAATTCCATCTCACTTACCATATTTTGCCAGACCGCAGGCCAACTCACTGCCCAAAAATCCACCGCCAATAATTGCTACTGATTTCGATTGATCAACATATTTCTTCAAATTGCTGTAATCTTCAATGGTTTTGAAAAGCGAAATGCGCTGCTTGATCTCAGATGATGCATTTTCGAATACGGGTAGGTTTCTTGGTGATGATCCAGTTGCAATCAAGCATTCGCCATACTTGATTTCGGTTCCATCGATTAAAATGGCCGTTCGATTTTCCACATCTACTTTCTTCACCGTGTATCCTTGTACAATTGCAACACCACCATTGGATTCGTCCAATTTCGATGGATGGATATAAAAGTCGCTCGGTTCATAGTGAAGATCACGGTCAAGCCCATTCCATTGCTTGAATGTCAATTTTTCACCATCACTTTGTTTGACGCTATGAGTTTCACGATCCATCCATAGCTCTTTAGACAGCGGTGGCCGCATGTATGGAGTGTCGAGCTCCTTGGACAATACCAAAATCTTGGCTTTTGGATTGCGTAATCGAATTGCACGGAATGCGGAAAAACTGGCAGTGCCACCGCCGATAATTAGATATGGAACACTTTTAGGAATTTCGGATGATGTTAATGGCACTTTTACTGCAAAGGAAAAGAATTTGTTGTTGTGAATATGTTTTTTCTCCAAATTAAATAAAATAAAATGAAGGAAAATAAGAAAAATCCGAGAGAGACAAAAAAACATCAAAAGAAGAGAAAAAAAACTTACGTTTTTTCGATCGAAATGATTTATCTGTATCATCGAACGATATGAAGTTTTTCTTAATTTTCGAATTGTAATAAATATATGCACCACCGAGGTTCATGCCAAGAATAAATGCAAGAGCAGCTATCCAAACGGATTGATTTTGTGACGATGATGAAAACGATGGTGGCGGTAAATGGAACGGATTTCCATTATTCTGTTGAAAAATTGGCTCATATTCATGGGCGAGTTTCTTAGTATTGGTTCCGTTATTTTTCTCGACAATTCCACCATTTGTTGTCGTAACGATTAATCTCAATTGAGAACCTATATGATACGCAAAACAAACACAAATATTAAACGCATTCAATTGAAAAACTGTATTTTTTCATTATTTTCTACTCTACGCATCAGTGTTTTCGATCGTTAGCAAATCGCCGCAATACGAACCTGACTGTTTATTTGGTGCACATAGTCGTTGTGATATCAATTTAGTTGGTATATTTTTTAAGCGTAGTAAACACATTTTGTACTAATTTGTTTATTTTTTCCGTTCGTTGACACAGTTTTAGCACAAACACAATTAGATTTTTCAACAGTTTTCGGCGTATAAACGTCGAATCAACAAAATGGAATGCCCCACTTAAAATCAAATTATATTAGATTAAAAAAACCATTCTTTCGATTTTTCACTAAATATTTAATTTTTCACCAGATATTTCGAGTCGTTTTCAACAGTTCCGGACAATTTTCATCACAAAAATGCGTTTGAAATCACAATGAACAGTTCAATTGAATATCACGACAAAATTAGCCTCTGTTTGGAAAGATTGGTCTACGTGCGATGTGTACAACAGCAAATCTTCGTTTGTTTTCATTTTGAATCGACCTCATAACGGCACTACTACAAACGTAAACCATACGTGACGATGCTACGTCTGATAACATTGATACAAGACAAAGTAATTTTCGCTTGTTTTCACCAGAGTTTATTCTTCATTTCAATGAACATTCGACAATTCACCCATAATTTGGGTTAATGTCTCATAAAATATGACGAATTCAAAGTTTTATTGAGAATTTTTTAGTTCAACGCATCTAAACACACCCAATAACAAAGGAAAAAGCGTACGTGCATTTACGCACGTATGCACCATAGCATCATTGTCGTTTGTATCAAAACAATGTACGTTTGCGCGAAGACAGCCCAAACTGTCAAATAGCCCAAAATGTCAGACGTCAACGGTGGTTGGCACTGCTGTCGCTCGTAAACAATGGAATACGTTACAAAGTGAATGAATACTTTTTCGATTTTTAACATGCATATTTTTTTTTGAACTCATTTGGAGAAGTAAAAAAAGAATAATTGATTTCGATTCTGATTTCGTTTAAATGCTTTATTGTGAGTATTTATTTTCGCTTTCGACTACAACATTTACTCTCTATTCTATTCTTTTGTTTGCTCTAAACAAGTAACAATTAAAACATTTATCAAACATAAATATATGTGTGCGTTTAATTTATTCATACTGAACTTTCTAATTGCTATAGCCACACTTTAAATCGAATAGAATTGAGTGGCGGTCGATGATTGTAGCTCTATTTGACCCATTTTAAATTGCAATTTCTGAAGGAATTTCAACAATGCCTCCGATTGTTGAACATCTGGATTTTCCAAATCCTGTTCATAATCACGAACGGCTTTTAGTCGTTGCTGCAATGTGGCCGAAAGTTGTGAATGCGATGACAACACTGGACTCCAAAGTGGCAACAATTTGGTCAGAATTGTGCATCGTGTTTCTTTCAATGCCTCCAATAAGTTGATGAAGTGCAAATTTACCATTTCCGACATCTGTAATGAAAGTGTCCATATTAATGATAATAATTAATTTCGGAAGAAAAATCGAATCTATTTTCATTGTATGGAGAATGCGGAAAGACTTCCAAAAATCCTTACCACTTTCGACGAAGAAACTAAATTCAGAATGCACGGCGTAACTTTGCCCCAGAATTCAATCAAAATGCCCATTGTAATGTTGTGCGGATCGGTTGAGGGTGCGGTCAAGTAGGAGATTTGCTCCAAGTACACTGACCACAGCTGACAAAGTGTGAATGCATGAAATAATGATGACATATGAAGTACCGATGTGGCCAATTTGGATTGTTCAACAAAACCGGCAAAAATGACTTGAATGTGATCGGCAATATGACAACTGGCCTCTTGTGGTACGGGCTGGGCAACGGTATGAGCACTGTGTTGCATGTGATAGTGAACGGATGCTCCGTGTTGGCCCAGATTACCACCTTTCCGTGACATCAATGCCGTATGCGTGAGCGCACCCAACAATAACCATGAAAGCAATCGCATATGGCCGATGCATTCCGAAAACTCTTTCGGTCCTTGTTGAATTGATGACGGTGCATTGTATAACCATGGTAAGTATCTGGCGACGGCTTTGTTATCTCTTGAATTGCCTCGTGACATTTCCAGTGCCAAATATTGTGCGATGGCACCCTTCAAAACACCGCCCAGCGTGTCTTCGTTCAAATCATTCGAACTCTTGAAGTTCTTGATCTTGTTCAGCGTATGGAAATCGGCCAAGAAATCGAGACAATCATTCAAATATTGACGCATGCAGTCAGTCGCATTTGTGGTGGGTAGCGATGGATGTTCAGGTAGATCTGGAACAATCCCTGGTGGCAATGTACCACCACTATCTTCCAACAAAAATCCCACCAATAGCAACAAATTCCCATCCGGAATATTTGTTTTAAATTTCAACGCTTGAACTAATTCGAACATCAGTTGACGACACAATTGCTGCTTATCACGCTCCTTTGAAAATGACCGCGCATTCATGCAACAAATATCGTTCAAGACTTTATATTGAAGCGTTGCGTGTTGAACACAATGGCTAATCACTTTACAGAATGGATCCAAAATGCTCTGCAATCAAGTTCAAAATGTTTAGTTTTTCTTCTTTTTTTTCTGCTTTTTTTAATGTTTATTAGAAATACCTTTTCTTTAACTGTTGGAATTTTCAATACGGCCACTATGATGTTCAGCAAATAGTCTGGGTTATCCAAATTATTCAAAATTAAAACTAGACGTCGGAATAGGGTTTCAATTCCTGTCCCGATTGTCGTCCAAGAGCTTAAATTTATTCCCACATCGAGTGGAATGCAACTCAAGTATTCGCCCATGTTTCGAAGTGTGGCCGGTAGCGTATCCATTGGTAGGGTTTTCTTTGAATTTAACGATTCGACAAGCAAATGAATTGGACTGGTTGGATTGAGTTCGTTAAAATCAATTAGCGCTCGGGCAATACTCTTAAAGTATTTCTTTCGTTGCCGATCTAAAACAAATATCATTGTAATTTTTATTCGGAGAATTTCTTGTATCATTTTCCATAGAAAATGTAAATTTTTGATTGTTTCGAATAAAAAAATAACCATACCTTTCATTTGTGTCAGGAACATTTGGACAAAAATGCCGTTCGGTGCGAGTTGATGTAAAACACAGCGAATAAATTGATGGGCAACCGATTGTGAACCGCCTGGTAAATGTGTTGGATTCTCATATTGCCATGGGAACTTCACATGACTCGCAAACCTGTTTTAAAAAATGAATCAAACAAATTTTTTTGTATCGCTCCGTCTCTATTTGGAATATGAATATTTTGCTTACTTTGAGACAATTGTTAAGATTTCGGGCAAGAATGGCGCCGCAAGTTTTGGTTCACGATGAATGAATGTATTCAATATGGTAATCATGATGCCAATCTCCTCATCACTGTACTCCTACAGTTATGCGAGCAAATAAAAATATAATTAACATGTCATATTATTAATAGCGCTCTTATGCTATTAACTACAAATGTTATTAGCACTATTAAGAAACATATCGCAAAATCAACAACTGTACCTCTATTTCAACGCCACAGTCTGAGCAACGGTGGCAAATTTTGTCTTCTTTATTTGGTGGTTGCTGCGGAATCTAAATAAGATATGTATTTTTTTAGTTTATCAAATAGTTAACCCCCCAAAAAAAAACAAAATATCCCTACTTGTTGCTTCTGTCCACTGGCGCTAGTTGGTTGAGCAGAAGTATAGTTATTCTCCGAATCAGATTCGTATTGTGGCGGTGCCCAGGAGCCAGCATACTTAGCTCGACTGTCTGGGATCGATTGCGAATGAACAACGAATGGTCCCGTTTTTCGCAAGCGTTGTCGTTGCGTTAATATTGCATCCTTGCCAGCGGCCGTAGCAAATGGAGTGCCATCGTATGCATTTGACCGATTTTCATTGGATGGTGACTCAAATGCTGATTGTTTCATCAGTCGGCGCGGTGAATTCGCTTGTGAGCTGTGTGTAATATCGTTTCCGGTGCTCTTTTGAAACACAAATGAAAAAGTTAATATCAACAATTCTCGAGGATGTGTCATTTGGATTTAAGAACAAAAGGAAAATACCTCCGACTTTTCAAAGGAGCTCTCCTGTTTCAAATGACTTATTTCTTTGATGGACAAAACTTCACGCACTTTATCCGCAAGCGTATTGATTCCATCCTTCGCATGCTGACCAATGGGCAACAAACGTTCGGGATTTGGAAATTCGGGTGTTGGAAATTCCAACTGTGTAACACTCTTTGGTGACAATAAGCCATCCAAATTTTCTTGTGCTTGCGATGTATTCGGCAACGGGTTTGGCATTATGCTCATCTTTGATAACGGTGATTCAGGCGATCCGATTTCAGCGATTTTATCGATGGCTTTGATCGTTGGTTTGGAACTGCTTGCTTTGACATCTTCAGTTGATATAGGAACCGGCGTTGTTGATGGTGTTACGCTTGGTTCGATTATACGCTTCTGTCGGCCCAACGTTCGTGGAATTGGTGAAACTGACTTTTGCTCCACCCAATTGGGATCTAAAGAAGAAAATAAAATCATTTCTTTTTTCAAAAACCCAAATACAAACGAAATTTAAAATAAGCTTACTGGTTGGTTTCACCGTCGGTGCCATTACAATGGCAACCGAAGTCGATGCTTCTGTTAGCAGCGATCCAATCGCACTCTTTGTCGAACTGTCCACTTCGGAAACGTCTTTAGTTTCTTTAGCTTCTTTTGGTTCAGCATCTTTGCCCGCTTTGTTGTCTTGAATGACAACAACCGCTTTTTGCACGTTCATCGGTTGATTTGTCGCAGCGATATCAATTGCAGGTCGTGGTGACATGAATATAGACGGTGTGACCATCATTCGAACTCCTTCTTGCACACTACACTTTGTGACAATCTTCGATGAGTCCGTGCTTGATTGCTTGGTATGCTTATCCAAACTGTTCAATTTCATGAATAAACGCGACGGTTTCTTCGTATCCTTTTCTTTCTCTTCTTTTTCCTTCGGTTCAACCACACTCAAGGTGGACAGAGCCACTTGTGCCGTTGCTAAATTGGCGGTTGTCACTTTTCCCTTGGCCTGTTCACTTTTTGTTGCCATTTCATCGAAATGTGCTCCGTCATCGAATGAACCGGGAACACTGTTGTGCAATGTGCTCTCCGACAAATCCGATTCGGGGATTGCCACCAACTCGGATTCTGTGTCATCTGCCTCTAAACTTGAATCCTGATATTTTCGGCTACTGAAACTTTGAGCCGACTTTTGGGCAAATGTAGTTTTCCCTTTGCCCATACCACTGGTACCTTCTGAACCAATAAACGGACTGATTGGAGGTGTTGGATCTTCGCGATCTCGATCGTCACGATCTCCCAGTCCACTAAGCGATGGTTGACTCATATCTGTCCATCATTGAAACATTCGTGGAATAAAATGCTTTTTCATATTCAAATATCCAAAAATCAAAAATTACCTCTTGAACGTGTTGGCATTTCCATCATAACTGTAGCCGGAATTCGTTTGCATCGATGGAATTGCGCTTCCAGTGAATTCAAAACGATTCGAACCAAGTGATGAACGTTTTGACTGTACGATGGTTGTGTGTACTCATACTGTATTAAATTAACAAAGGCAATTAGTGAATTTGTCACATTTTTCCCCTTGATGGCGTTCATTTTTTCCATAAAAAAGTCATACCTTGTACATGATGACTTCAACGGCCATAAGCCAATTTCGGCGAACATGCGGCTCCAGTCGCCACAACGAATATGAATAAATAATGTTGTGGCTCGACTCTGAATTGGCGCTTGCGACAGTTGCGGTGCTTGGGCAATACAGCAGTGTGTGCAAAATAGCTTCAAGTATGCTGGCGCCCATTAAATGATTTTGATCGAGCATTTGCGGCAAATTCGATAAAAATGCATTAAATACCGAAGAACACCTGCAGATTAACAATAATAAAAAGAAATTTATTTCAATTAATCACCTTTGTGTCCAAGTAAAGTTATCGAAGGCACATTCGCTCACCTTAATCGCGGTGGTGTGATGTGGAACATTTTATCGATCGGACTGTAGCCGAGTAACAAGTACAAATGACGCATAACGATCATCATTATGCGTGCCATTGGCTTTTCTTCCGTTGGATATGCTTGATCGGAGCGTGACATAAATTGCATGAATAAAAAGACCAACAGATGAATTGTTTCCTTGTCCGATTCTTCGATGTCGATAATCCGGTGTAAACAGTTCGAAATGTATGGATCTTCCGATGGGCCCCCAAATGAATGAACATGGAAATCTGGTTTTCAAAATTGCAGACGAAAAATTAATTTCGGGTTTGTTTTGTTTTGATATGATAAAATGGGCATAGGACATTTAGACGAATTGAGTGAATTTGATTTAATAACTCAATGTCAATTTGCTATTTTATGGAAATTCACTTATTACCTATATCATACACATGATTTGTTCTAAAGCTAATAAAGTGGTGGCTAAATAAGTAAGCATACGAATATGATAAAGTGCTATACTAGTGCATGCATATTTTATATATTCAACTAACGCTTCGGCTACAATATTTTTGTTTCAAATAAATAGGATCTGAGATTCTGAGCTATTTTTTTTTTATTTACATGTTGGATTGATCTACATTGGGTGGTTTGGTTTTCAATTTCAGATTCTATTTTTCTGATTATGGGCTATTCATAAATAAGAAATGAAATATACAACATACCGGATGTCTGGTTTACTGACGTTTAACATGGACTTTTTTTTTCAACTGAATTTCTTCAATGAGAGCATTTTCATGAAATTTACTCATTTTCGATATGTTTGACGAACATATTTAAATCACACCAGAAACATATAAAAAAAACTATGAACGAGTTGAGGAGTGTCATTTGCGTGGTGACGAGAGACAGAGACAGAGACAGAAGAATTGGGAACAAAATACAAAAGATAAGAACAGTTAAAACTAAAAACAGGGGCACACGGAAAATCGACAGACAAATTTAGTCTAACAAAGTGGTTTTGACGATTCAAAACAAAATGGGTGAAAATTGGGTTTATATAATCAAAGGGATATTGCAACTTTTTTTACCAGAAAAAACGCCATCTTACGTCGTGCCCGTAAATTATTTTACTGTACATTTAGATGGTAGAGCTTGAACAAAAGTTCAATACTATGCATAAACTTGGAAAGAGCTTGATAAACTTGATGAAATACATATATTTTATGGTCGTTGCAATACCCCTATATATATAATACAGAAACTAGAACATTAACTAAAGGTTAAAAAACGAGGGAAATGATTTATTTTCATTCGATATCTAGACGATGGAAATCCAATCGTAGCCATCTTTCATAATTATATAATTGATTCACATTGTAGTTAATTAATTTAATTGAGAAAATTTCACGGAGATGGCGTCGAAAATCAAAATTGTGATACATTTTGTCGGCATCGCTTTTGTAGTAAAAAACAAAATTTAGAAGTAAACGGGAAGATTTCACACGAAAGATAAACAAATGTACTCCATCGAAATGTACATTAACACAGGGATTCGAAAAGTTTAATTCTGGTGAGGACAGCGAGATTTTGGATGTGGGTGTTTTGAGTGTGTGTAGTGTGTAAGACAGAGAGACAGGTAGAGTATGTTGTGGATATGTTCAAGTGTTGACACATTTATCGTGACTGAGACGGACTTTGAGTTTTTTTTGTGTATGTTTTGAATTCCATTGATAATAAGAAAAATGGGCATGCACTACGACCTACCTTGACCCCCCATCATATTATTGGAAAATGTAGGACCAGATTGGTATTGTTTTTCACTCAGGAGATTTGGTGTGGTTGGTGTTGTGCCAGCTGACGAGGTCTGTGGCTGTGCGATGTGCATTGGATGATACAAGTGATGCAAATGGTGATGCACACCTTGTGAATGCGAATGGGGGGTGCTACTGATTTGCAAATGATGCTGAGCATGACCAACATTAGCAGAAGCTACATTAGCAGTATTAGCATTAGAACCAGAACCAGATAAAAACTGACCCAAACCAAAGCGGCTGCTCTTCCTCTTGAGTATCGGCGCCGATATCTGACGATTGTACACTTTCTCTGTGAAAATCGATGGGAAATGGTTTCAATTGATGTTCGACCATTGTTCTCGATTGTAAAATTAAACAATTTTTACCGATTTTTGAATCCTGTCGCGGTGGTATGATGCTTGCTGGTGCTGACATTGTTCGTTTATATGGCCATTTCGTTCCAAATGATGCACTCAACGTTTTTGCCATGCTACATGTCGTATCCGATTGACTGAGCGCTTCACGTGCTTTGCTGATTTTCGTTAGAAGCGCATCGCTGCCCGTTTCCGAATTTTTCAAATCACGTAAATAGGGAATTTCACCAGTTTTCTCCAAACTGATTTGCGCTTCTACGAACAGTGTATCGAAACGATTCAAAAAGAAGTCCCAGGACAAAACACGACGATCGGATAATGAATTGTGAAGTTGATAAAGTGACTGAATCATACGAGATAAAAAAATAAATTAACAATTTATAATAATATTGCAACAATTGATGCATGGAAATGATTGATGGCCTTACCTGAATAACGACCGGTCGATCGACAATAAACAAATCAAATTGCGACTCAAGACAAAACAGCAATGAATTGACGGCTTTGTCATGAATCGTTCCCAAGTAAAGTGTTGAACGTTGAGCCACATATACGTTTAAGTCATCCATGCTAGCGATCAAATAGCAGAATGCGGTTGCCAATGCTGTCTGTAATCCAACTTCGTTTCGAATCGGTGTTGCATCCATAAATCTCGTGATCACGGTGACACGTTCAACTGCTGCAAATCGAATACGCCAATCCTGATCGTGAAACTCCTCCTGAACAATGCGCCAAAACACATCCGATCCCAATGGTAAGGTGATGCAGTGCAACAGCAACGGTACACAAACTGATGAGATGTGCGAATGCTCTGCATTACACAAATTCCATAAACTGTGAAAATGTTGTATGAATTGTATGGTTTTAGAAAACAGCATGGAAACGGAGCTTTCAAATTCACTTACTTTTTGATCAAATGATTTTCCTGGCACCAAATGAAGAATCCACGATGATCTCTGGCTGCATTCGAAAGTGCATCTCCGTTCAGTGCCAACACATTGAGACATTGTAACATGAAATACAGAATGTCCGGCTTTTCAATGTTTGGCAATTCAATCAGCAGCTGATAAACGTACTGTAACGATTGCGGTAGAGTGTCGAGTGTAATTTTAAATTTTCCCACCGAAGTGTACCAGAAGTCTTCACCATCAATATCGGATTCATATTCTGCGTCTTCGCTTTGATCAATGGTATCGAACGCTTCACTCTCCATTTTTGCACTCACCAACTGTGGTTTGGACGCAGTTTGTGCCGTGGCCAATGCTAAATGGTTTGATTTTGAAATGTGATTTATGAATTTTTTTACTGATTAATCCAATGAATAGTATATTACCAGTGTCGTTTTCTGTGAGTGTAACCGATCGTGCGACTGCCGGCAAAACTTTTTCCGCGGGCATAATAGCTGCCGCATCTAATTGTTCCTGTACGGTTTCAACGGTAGCTGTCATGATCTGATGGTGAAGAAAAACAAAACCAAAAATCATCCTATTAGTTTGGAGTGTGATGTGAGTTAGAATTCCTTTTTATTCAGCAATTTCTGTCACGACGAATACAAAACAGACATGACGTCAAAATTCACGCGACACTTTCGTGGCCATTTAATTTTTTAACGATCAGGCGTAAATGCTATGCACAAATAAATGTTTTTGTTTTAGTATATAAACATTAATCTATATAATATAGTACACTAGAGTTTCAGTTATTTCGCTAATTTGTTTTGTCTTTCTCATCGAAAGGAAAATAAAGAAAAAGAAGTAAAAGAAAGTAGTTTAGAAGCCATGTTAGTAGATTTCTAAAAGTGGTGTGTTTTATTTTCATTGAAAATGTATCAGAACGGAAAATGAAACGAATAAATCATGATTCGAATAAAGGAAAGCGAAATGAAAGTCAAAAACGAAAATTCGAAATGAATGCAATTGAGAGTCAACTAAAGATATGATGCGAATGGCAAAGATTAAAAAGAAAACGGATTAACAGGTAGAGAGAGTGATAGAGAAGAGATTAAATGGATTTGAATGGTGATGGCGAACGTGAAACAAAACATATTATTTCATTAAGAGGAATAGCACAAAATACACGCTTATTGACAAAATTACGCTCCTCTGCTCAATGTGCTTATTGTCGTTCAAACGGAAAACCAAAATCGATCCGTTATATCCAAGTCGTATGCGTTTTATGTACATACCCTGCTGGCTTGATATGCTTGTTAATGGACTAAATGGATTGAAGCTTATTGAGAGGGTGACAAAAATGAACAAAAGTTTTTTTTTTCAATTTTTAAAATCAACACGAAATCAACATCAACCAATTAAATTGTACAAAAATTGCCGATTTTTAGTGGTTTCACACACACACATACAAGATACTTTGAAACAAATATTTATCACATTAGATTTTTTTCGGTGGCAAATTTCACTGGAAATCACTTTTTCAAAAAAGGAAGAACACAGACACAACATTATCAAATCAAAAGGTTCGGGAAAGATGTTTGCAATTTTCAACAACGAAACAAAATGAATTGTAAGTTCTAAACGAAGAGAGAAATTATTTACAAATGTTTATAGATTTTTGGTATGAAAAAAGCATAATGTTCTGAATTTAACTAACAAATTCAATAGGGTGTGGTAGATGTGGATTAAAAAGCAACTTAAAAATGGATAGAATACGGTTTGATATGGATAGAATGTTTGGTAAGTGTGTTTTACTGTTGAATTTTCTTTTATCTGAAATCGAAAGACACACAAAACAAATGAATCGGAATTAGAGGAACACTTAAGAATGAAAACACACTGAAACAAGTCAACAGAAATACTTTTAAATGAAACGTTAAATGATTTACGACATCGACAACAACGAATAAAAATTGCGGAAGATTTTATTTTTGGTTTGATTTTGTGGGGTTGCTTAAAATTTTGATTGAACTATTGAACAAAGTACCTCGTCTGTAGCATGAATAAATCGCGCTATCTCATTTTCTCGGCCACGCTCAGTTATCTAAAGAATAAAATGTGAAAAATGTCTATAATTTCCAGAACATAAATCAATAAATGGGTTCATGTTTTGTTGTTGGTGTTGGCCATAACCAATAATTTGAAATTAAAAATTTTCATTACCATTTCAATTAGCTCAGTTTTTGAACAACAAATGATTTTTTTGGAGAAATTAAATAAGAAAAATTGAACAAATTAAATCAAACGGAATTATTATTTAAGAAAAAATGAAAAGTTGTGTAAATATGTATGTGTCTGTTTGTGTAATGTATCCCTATAAGTCTCTTTGAATTTTGTTTCAACTGTCTGAATTTATCGTCTTCTCTTAGCGAATGACACTCGGCTGACCTAGCATCTTATCGAACCATATTGAAATAGGTAATATAAATGAATAGCATGTCCAATCAACGAGAGTTGCTTGTGCCAATCTGAATTGAATCATTTTACGAATCGCGTAGAATTGGCGTTTAATTTAAATCAGCTAGGTTTGTCTTAATTGTCTAGATCAATGCTTGATTTTTCTTTTGAAACGATCATTTCTGCTCTAAAATGTTTTTTAGTACACTTTCAAATATGTCATGAGTTCTCAACTGAAATTTTCACTGTATTTAGAGTGTGTATACATACAGAACAAACGTGTGGCATATGTACGAGTACTCCACCGACTGAATGAGGCTCCGGTTGTGGTACTGCAATTGGAACTGGACCTTTTTTGCAAAAAGAAAAAACGAGAAAGAAAAAAACAATTGATTATTCAACGATCCAAACTATTTGATTGACCCATGCGCTTCTCCTGTCTCTTTCAGAGAAAAAATGTGCAATTTTGTTTATCTAAAAATTCGAGCAACAAAATTTAATTTGAACGAAAATGCTGGTTTTATTTATTTCATTCAGCTACTATTTCAGACATGATAATTTATCTAATTTATCATTCGCACTGCTATAGCATCTACCGCTTTCAATTCTAATGTATCCGTTGTAATTTTAAGATTTATTGCCTGCTAATGGATTTCAAATTTTGCTTCAATCGAAAAAATGACTATATACGTCTACGAATTTCAACAAAAATAAAATTGATTGTAATGTTGAGCATTCATTCAAAGTCCTTAGCTACAAAATTGTGTATGTGTAAGTGTATATGTGTTCAGTGTGGTATTGTGTGTTAATTGTATGGTTTTTCATTGTGTTTAATTCAAATGCAAGTGTAGATTCCTTAATATATTACTCAAAGTGCTGTTGTGTGTTATATTGGAGTACGTGTTTTATGTTGTGTTGTTTTAATTTGCTAAAATCAGATTTCACTAATTCCAAGGAAAAAACAGAAATTAAATAAGCGCAAACACAATGGCAAGCTGAAAACTTCGGGGAAAGTGCAAATGAGCGCCAAATTGTTCCTTCAAATTGATCAATCGATCGTTTAATTTATATTTTTATGAAAAAAAAGCATCTACTCAAATTTCAATTCTATTATGTTAAAGG